CAACAGGCCTTCACAAGATACTATCTTGCATATTCAGCTCATCAAGAGTAGCTTGCTCCTTGGGACTTCTTGCAGCAATCAGCTGTGCTCTGTGCCATGCATAGCCCATCCATGTGCCAGCATATGGGTCACAGAGCTGAGCAGCACCTATCTCTTAGCATCCCCAAGCACTACCTCACTGCACAGTACCACCACATCTGATTGTTGGTAGTGGTGCTGTGCTGTCCTGTCTTCTCTGGGACATGCCTTCAGATCTCTGGAACAGCGTTGTGGAGCAAGTGGAGTGAGCCCATGGAGCAAAATCTCATAGGGTGCAGCCCCAGCAGCTCCCCTGTGTTTTACAGAGGCGACTGAGCCCTGATCTTTGCTATGAAGGAAGAGGATTTGCTCAGTCAGCAATCCAATGGGCTGAAACTGACATTAAACCAGTTCAGTAGGGAAATGTCTGCTGCGGGAGGGGTGGACTTGAAGGGCTGGTGGGATGGAGGTGCTAGCAGGGCTGGGGTGATGGCCCTGGCAGTATGTGTGGCTGTGGCAGCAGGGTAAATTGAAGATGGCTTTAACCGGGAGGAAGGTTTGGCAAGGTTGTTACTCCCTGGCTTGCTTTGTGTCCATATTTGTCAATTAGACCTTCCTGGTTGGTCAGTTCTTCCAGCTAAAGACACTCACTGGGGATGGTTTGTGATTGAGTTTCTGTTATGGAGTTTGACAGAGCTAACACGATCATGAAAATGAGCTTAAACCAAAAGAGAAGCTTGGCAGTCCCCTGCTCCAATTTGTTGTATTAGCTCTAAACATTTGCAAGAAAGATATGCAAGAGCTGCAAAGTATATGTCCTGTCATACAAAACTGCTGTTGGACTAGTTTTACAGTACGTGTAAAATGTTTAATTGCACTTACCTTTGAAAGTTTTGCACACCTTACTCCAGTAAGTAAAGACTCCTCATGACTGTTGGAGTACGGCTATCCCTTTTTCACTTGCCCAAGCCTGCTGCTACAAAAAGGTATCTTAGAGCCCTAAAGCCCCCAGCTGCTCTGGTTTAGTGTGACTGTTTGCACGATACTGGAGCTGGGGTGCCTGTGTCCAATGACAGACAGTGACAGTGCACGGAGATGAGTGGCACTGTCGATATTATAGCCTTGTTCTTTCACAAGTGATTAGGACTAGACGAGTATCATGGTGCTAGTTGAAAAATGAGGCTCTCAGGTTTTCATAGATGTGCGTGGCATTAGTTCCTTTCCGTTAATCCCATGCTTACAAAGTTAATTTCACTATTTGAGTTGTTTCTGGTCTCTTGAGCCATGTCAAAACACAAATAAGAATGTGCTTTCAAGAGCAGAAGAGGATCTCAGTCCATTCTGTTACTGAAAAGGAGTATTAGACACTCACATTTCTAGTACCTATTTATTTCTGCTTTCACATAGCAAATTCTTTTTTGGTCTCTCACAGAGCATCAGTCGGAAGGAACTGGGCTTTTCTGTTCCCATAACTCCCACTTGTAGTTCCAGCCTCAGGCATGGAGGTACATGTTCTGTAGCTGCATAAAGGATTTATGGGTATGGAATGTCCTGCTTATGTGATAAAAGACTTGACCCTGCAATCAGCTGTACATCCTGTGCCTTTAATATGCCTGAAGCTCATATGTGTTTATATTGACCTCTTCCTGAAGTGAGAGGTGTCAATGTGAAAGGAGAGGAAAAAGGGGGTGGATGTCAGTCTACCCTCCTCAGAGGATTTGGCAGGGGACTGACTACTTATTTCATAGAGAACCTGTGCTGCTTCTGTCAAGTATGTTTTGAATTAATAACGATAGATGTCCTGTAGCCAACCATCTATATTCTAGGAAAATAATCTGATAAAGCAAGTCAGTCCTTAAAGGTAAGTTTTATATTCGCTTTGCCAGGCTTGTTCCTGTCTGGGCTCCATTCATGATGGTGTTTGCTTTCTTCTCTTAACCTGACATTGCTGTTATGTGGTTTATAATGAGCTATAGTATCTAGGGCTTTTCTGCTACCTTGCTGTTTCTGCCATGTTTTGTATTAACACGGACCTGATGAACTGCAGAGGTCTATGGTGCCCTTACTAAATGGCATTTATTGTTTTCAGATGTGGGGTTTTTTTCTGTGGGTTAGATAATTTTGAATTCTAATGCTGTTTCCAAACATATCTGACATTTTTGCTGAATTTCTTATGGATATGACAAACATGCTGTCTCAATATCCGAAGTGCTTACGAAAATACTGTATAACACTGGATCTAGAGCAAACCCCGAAGACCTGCTCTCATGATAGCCCTTCTGCTCTGACAGTGAACAGCTAGCAATTCTGCCCTGACAGTGACTTTCCAACCAGTTACACCCATTCTGCAGTAGTTTCATCTAGACTACTATTTCTCTACCTTGCTAATGATAATATCTTACCAGCCTCTATCAAAAGCCTTGCCAAAGTCATGATGTGTTTATCTCCTGCTCCTCCACACCCTTAAGACTGATTACTCCATCACAGGAGAAAATTAGGTTGGTCTGACATGTTGTGCTCTCTGTCAAATCTCAGTTGGCTCCTATTTATTACCTTGTTATCTTCTTGGTGCTCACAGATAGATTGATATTTGATTGCTTGTTGATTAGCTGTCTTTCAGGAAGCTGAAGCTAGGCTCTCTGAGATATCATCCCCTGAATCCTCCCTTTTCCCTGTTTGAAGAGAGCACAAATTGATGCTAGCTGAGATAAAAGTGAGAATTGTTCTTAACTGACAATTAATTTCCAGTGCTCTTTTTTAGCTTTATAAATTTGACATAGAAGTAACATGTGAACTGTAGTATCTAGAGAAATTGCCCCTAAAAGTTCAAATTTAGATGTGTCATGGCCCTGAGGGCACTAATGGACCTTCCTGTCCCTGCCCACTCCTTGGGGCTCCCCCGACCCTGCCCAGGACCCCAGGGGCTCTCAGCTACCCACAGCCCTGTGCTGCCAAGCCATAGGCCCTGCCCTGATGCCCCCCAGTTGCCCTACTCCTGTCTGATGTGTAGGATGATCCCTGGCTGCCAAGTCCTGCCCTGAGCCCTGCTGTGGGGAGGTACAAAAGTAATTATTTTCCTCCTTGTACTGAAAATTAGACTTTCAAGGGAGAGTCTAGGCAGCAGGCTGTGAAATCAGCTGTATGGGGTAAACCTGTATGCAGCAGCTTAGTTGTGCAGCAGTTGAATAAGCTTCTTTGTGTTGAAAGTAGTGGTGAGCTTTTTTTTTTTTAAACTGTGAATGGTCATTTGCCTTATTCTTGTATGGTAAGAAAGGGACACCTGAGCGTCAGGCTGACCTTGGCTGTATTAGGCATAATTTTATGGACCACTCTTTTTTTTCCCCCCTCTCTGTATTAATCTTCTATCCAACCTTCTAACCTTTAGTTTGTCTTCACTCTCCAATAGCTTCCTTCCAAAGACCAGCTTGGCAAAACTTGCACTCTGGCCATGGCTAGCTAAGCTGTCACTAATTTTTGTACATCAGTGTTTTGCAGAGTTTCAGTTCTCTCTGTCCCATTTTCAGTGCACTCAATTTGCTGTGTTTCTCATCTCAGCAGACTGAGTTCAGGGCTTCATTGAGTTGTCCATGGGGACACTCAGATCTGTAACCCAAGAGGTCACGGTTGTTTGAAATCCATCAATATGTATGAGTAATTCAATTTGTATCTTCTAATGTTCATTATCTTGCACTTCTCTACACTGAATTCATTTGCCATAATCTTACCCAACTGCCTGGTTGTCCTATGCCTGTCTGCACTGCAGGGTAGCCCTTCTTGGAAAAAGGTGCAGAGATGTTTCTTCTTCTAAGCTTTCTTCTGCTTAAGGAATTTGCCGTGGTGCTGGATCTCTTGAGTTGTTTCCTAGCCCACTAAGGTGGCTCATCCAAAACCCTGTGTGATACTGGGGACCAGTGCCTGGTCTCTTGCCCTCTAAAATTCCTAAAAGGAGCCTTATAGTAGAAGGAGAAATGTAATCGAGCCTAGTATTAGAGGGCTATTTTACAGAGAATGATCTCAAGATCTGGGGATTATCCAGCGCTTTGGATAAGATGTGAATGTACCAGAATCCATCTTTTCCAGCACTTTCAGGGAGCTCCATCTAGCACTTCTTTGTACAAAGCTGGGAGCACTTTATGGCTTCTTCATGATTCTGTTTACCAAATGCCTACCATAGACAATGTGTTATACTTTTACTGTAGAAACAGTCCTGATTGCTTTAGAAGCCAGTATTTTGCAGTTTCTAGTTTATTTCCAACCAGAATCTTGTATCTAAGAGTTCAGCATGGGCTACAACTGTGCCTGTCCTCCCTCTTGGTGGCCCTAGTGAATGGTCTTCAGGGGCTGGCATTGCACTGACTCTGTGGCCTAGGGAAGCTAGCAGAAAATTAGGAGTAAAAAGGGATGGCTCAAGTGTTTTAGCTCTTATGTGGAACTGGAGACAGTCACATGCAGCTTCCAGCTTTATCATGGACTTCTGTGGGAGTGGACAAAGCTGGGCAAGGCACAGCAGGGAACCTGTGAAATCAGCTGCTTGTATGTGATAGTCATTGCTGACAGACTGTAACTGGTTTTCCTCAAAATACCGTGTTTCAGCCACATTGGCTGGAGGTTGCTTTCAAACCTGTGTTGCCTGGGAGGGTTTCCAAGCGGCTGCGGTCTTGCACATTCTGTGCAACAAGTGCTAAAGGGAATTTGGCTCTACCTACGTTATCAGGAGCAGCAGGTGTCATCCCAAGCTCAGTCAGTAAGGATAGTGAGGCCTGTGATTTTACTTGGAAAGGGCAAATATAGCACTACACCTATGAAGGTTTCCTGCTTTCCTTTCCAAGCTTTTGTCTGTAATGCCTTCCCTTTTACCTTAGCCACTTCCAGATGTGTGGAAAACAACCTGCTTTAGTGTCTGTGTATCGGAACATTATTACCTGAGTCTAAACATGAGCTGGGTGTTCTCCCTAATGCTCTGATGGTTGTCTCTGCTCTAGATGACAAGGGCTCCCCAGAGAGAGAACAGCCGGAGAGGTTTTGATGAGAAGGCTTACCTGTCCTCAAAGGTGCTGAAGGCTGGAGAAGACCCCTACCGCCAGCATGCTTTTAATCAGCTAGAGAGTGACAAACTCAGCAGCAATCGGCCCATTCGGGACACCAGGCACTACAGGTACCATGCAACCTTGGTGTGGGGAGGCCACTGCCTCCTCCTGTGTTGCTCTGCAATGTTGACAAAGGGTGGTTGGGGGTTTTCTTCACCAGCATCCATCTGTTTCTTTCCTGTATTTCACAGTTAATCTGGAAAGGTCTCAAATGTGAAGAAACCCTTGACTAACTCAGTGCCAGCTTGTTGCTTTTCTAGCATCTCCTCTAAGGTCCAAACATCATCTTGATGTTTCAGCACAGCCCCTCCATTGCAGATCAAATTGCTCATCTGACAGTTGTTTGCAAAACTGCCTTCAAGCTCATGGCTTCCCTTAGTGACCCTCTGTCCTGGCTGTGAAATATGCCATTGTTGCAGCCTTGCTTTACTCTGGTGTTCTTCATGTGCTGTGCTCTGGCTGGCTGAAGCTAGTTTGGTGCCTTCTTTCCAGCCTGGACACGATGGTTTGGATGAAGTCTGTTGGGTGAAGATAAAACTAATGGCCAAATAACAGTGAATATTTCATGGCTTGCAAAGTGCTCATTGTTCTGTCTGGTTTCACTGAGCATGAATTTATTCTGCTGACTAAACTCATCCTTAAATTGCTGATAGTGCTCAGGTAACTATTTTGTAGTTTCTGGAGCACAAAAAGATAATGTTGTACCTTGAAAACTGTAGGTTTGATAGTGATAGGGCAGTGTAAAACAGCCTACTTGACAACAGATTAAAACCAGACACAAGCTAACAATATCTGTAATGCTTGTCTATTTGGGCTGCAGCCTAAACCCTACCAAGGGTTGCAAAGCAAAACTTCACAGCCACTGGAAATAGGAAAACAGGCATCTAACCCGATTGAAACTGTGAAAGGGATGTTAGGAGACCTAGAGCTTTGTGAGGCTGCCCTCACTGACAGCACTCAGTTGCTTTGTGAATGCAAGCAGTCACGACCTGGGTTATGAGATCAAAGTTTTGTGCTCCTGTTCCCCAGCATAGTCCTTGGGATTGGCTTTCTAATGACTCAGAGGCAGAGGTATCATGTCCTTGATTACTGACAAGTCTCCCTGCCATGCAGAACTGCTGTTTCGTTAATCTGCTGTTGTGTTGTGGCCTAAAATCAGCTCGCTTCAAAGGTGAATTACTGTTTAATTTGATCCACGGTAGCATGCAGAGCATGTTTTTTGTGAAAAGCCTTATCTATGCACTTTAGTCTGAAAAAAAACATACAGGTGATTCCCTGGAAATGTATGGCCGTTTCAGCGCCAGCTTTGCAAGGATTCCCTTCAGCAATGGGGAGTCCAAAGTAGAGTATAATCAGAGCAGTAAAACTTATTTTTGTGTTCTTCCCTTTGGCAGAGGTGGCAGTTTGGGAATGAAGGAGCTGTGTTTGAGTACCTTGTCTTGTAAGACTATTGGAATGGTGGCTGGGGTGGCAGTTTAGGATTAGGACTTACTTCAGATGAAATAGAATCATAGAACTAGGGTGGAAAAGACCTCTATGATCATCAAATCCATCTTTTACCCAGGACTGCTAAGTTCACCACTAAACCAGGGCCTCATCTACATGTTTTTTGAACACTTCCATGGATGGGGATTCTACCACTTGCCTAGGAGGGGAGCCTGTTCCAGGGAAGTGGTGGAATCACTGTCCCTGGAAGTGTTAGACTGTGGTTTGAGAAAAGGCCATCTATGTGTCACAGATGGACCTGGCTCCCCATTTAAGGAGTGAGAGGGTCAATAGGTCCCTAATATGTCACTTTTTCTTCAGGCACTCAAGCAAAGGTTGGCATACTTAACTATACATCCTACAAGCTCCTCTGACCTAGCACGTACCTAGGTTTTGATCCAAAGCAAAGAAAGGGTCAGCTTTCAAGCACGGACTTTGTCCTTGTCCTCTGTGATGCTGTAAAAATGCTGAGTTTTTGAGAAGAATTCCCCAAATAACATATACGCCAGCATTTTCTGCTTTTGCACTTCCTGATGCCCAACACAGTTTATATGCATTACCTCATAGAGTTGTTTTAAAACAACAATAAATGTGGTATGTCTCCTGTCTGGTCTCAGGTTTTCCACTTTATTCTTTATCAAGGTTTCTTTATATGTGTTAAAATTGCTGAAAGACACTGCAGTCCACTTAATAAAATCTTGCAATGAAACAGTCATAAACCAGCAGGATTGAATGTGATGACAAGAACAGTAACAGGTTAGTAATAGCCATAAAAGAATAGTAAGCATATGTGAAAGGACAGGTAGTGGTTGTAAGAACTGAATTGTATTTTTCCCAAGGATGGATTCAGTCTATATGTGGCCTTAAGCTGTTAAACACACTAGGCCACAATTTCAGTTGCTCTTCATTGAGCAGACCATTAGTGCACACTAACTGCTGTTTGACACTGGCTTGAAGCTAAGAAGACAGACACTCTGGAGGAGCAGATCAGCCCAAATCTGCCATTCTTAGTATCTGCCACAGTTGGGTCCAGGGTTCACATCTGTGAGTTGTTCTCCCCCAAGAGTGTTTGTTCTCCATAGGGTATGTGCAGCCCTGGTGCAACCAGCCCTTCCTTCCGAGTATGAGTGTATGCACCTAACATTACACTGTCAGATGAGAAGATGAGAGGAATTGCTTTCCATTGCCAGCTGAGGTATTAGTGTTGAACTTCTGCAACTGCTTGATGCAAATCACATTGCTAGATAGTGTTCTCCTTTCTGTTAAGTCCAGTGTCCAAACAATTTGAAGTGCTTTATACAGTGATGCCTTGGTGTGCCAGCTCCATGCATCCTTAGCATGTACATGACCTATGCAAGAATAAACAAGACTTTACATGAATCGCAGGTGAATCCAGGGACTAGAGCCCAAGATGTCGAAACTTTGTTCCCCATAAAACTCCATATGCCCTCCTAAGCATGCAGCGTTTGAGTTTAGGTATCACAGCCTCCAAACTTTGCCTTTCATCAGGCACAGTTCTTTTTAAGTTCTGCCAGCCTTGGTGCAGGAGCTGCTAAGGTCTTCCTTGCTGCAGCTCAATTGTGCTGTTCCTGATTTTAGCATATTACACTCTTCTCCGCTAGAAACTCTAGGTACATTGCTGCACTAGCTGCAGGTGGCTGATGTTTGTCTTACACTTCTGCTCCTCTGTGTTGCAGGTGCACTTCTGTACGATATGACACAGACTTGCCAGCTACCAGTCTCATCATCACCTTCCACAATGAGGCACGCTCTACCCTGCTCCGCACAGTGAAGAGGTGAGTTCAGCAAGGGTGCTGGGCACAGATGATGGTGTCTGGAAGGGCACTGGTGGAGGGCTAGGCTTTTTACAGCAGATAGCCAAGCAGGGTAGCTGTAGTTCCCCAAGTGCGTGTGGTCTGCCTTAGAGTTGGCCCACTCGGACGGGTCAGGGGCTTGAATTGGCACTGTGGGTGTATCTTCAAAGACAGGGTATCTGCAGTTAGCCACTGCATAGCCTCTATGGGGAGATACATTGGTATCAGAAAAGGGTCTACTGCAGGTGGGAATAGAACTTGGTTTGGAAGAGTGAGGGGGAGCCAAAGGGGACACAGTGTGTTGTTAGTTGTAGCTAAGGAATGGGGCTTGGGAGGGACTGTGTTCCATAAATAGGAATAAGCAGCCTGCTCCCTGCTAGGGCACATGTTGCAGGAGCTGGGGCTGGCTCAGTGAGGGCAGGGGCACAGCTCACAAGTCTTTCAGGCAAAAGGTGATGAACTTCAGGTCTCATGGAGACTGAGCCCTTGTTGTCTGAGCAATTGCTGCTGAACAGTTGCTGCACCTCATGGTCCACCAGATGCTCCCTGGGCTTTGCACACAGGCTTTGCCGAACCTGCAAGACACTTGCTATCTTGTACCTGTGTTTCCTCATATCTGAGTACTGGCTGTGGGTGAATCTAACCAAGTAAATAGGTGGCATAGGGCCTGTCAGCATCCCCAGGTAGACAGAAGCATGCAGTTATCTGTACCACAAAGCAATGTCCCAGCTGCTCCTTCACCCTCCCCCACTTCCATCATCCCTGCAGAACCCGTGAAGGTTCTTTTCATTTTAGTTTTTACACACAAAAATGCCATCTGCCCTCTCTGACTTTTCAAATAATTTCTCAAAGGGTCTCTAAAGTGTGCAAGTGGGCCCAGAACAGCCTGTGGAGGCTGAAGGAAGAGTGAATTGTCCGGGTAGAAGGTTGAGCTGACGGTATCACTAACAAATGCATTATTCATCATCACTACTTCTTCCCCTGACATATCCTGTGGGCTTAGAGAAATGTGCTTCGTGAATAAATAACAGGCTTTTTCAAGTCGGCCTTATGGCTAGAAGGCTGGGTTTCTGTCTTCCAGGTTTGGTGCTGCTGTGCTTCCAGAGACCTCTATATATTGCATTAACACATTTTGCCTTTTTACCTCTATCATTTCCTTCTCATTTGAACCGTAAAATGAGTTCTACAGAGCCAATGTTCAGAAAATGAGCAGATTTGTTTGGAACCACAGTGCTGCTAGGGCAACGGGAGGAGATTTCTGCCAATGACAGCAAAGGTCAGACAGTAAACGGTTAGGTGTTCAGAAACCATGGTAGTAGGATACTTAAGAAAATCTTAAGGCACTTAATCAAATAGTCAGATGCCATGATAGTTAAGATGATATTCAGAGCAGCAGTAATGCATAGAGGGGGAGACTGATACCCAAATCCTATGGAGGTGAGGTGTACTAATGAGCAGATGAGTGTTGCTGATGCATTAAGATACTGCTTGCTCAAAGCAAGGTCAACTAGAGTAGGTTGCCTTTGCCTACGCCTGATCAGTTTTTAGTATCTGCAAGAATGGAGACTCTGCAATCACTCTGAGCATTCTCTTCTCAAGGCTAAACAACCCCATTTCTTTCAACCTCACCTCATACATCTGATGCTTCAGACCCTTGTCTTAGTGGTCGCTCACTGGACCTGCTTCAGCATGTCCCACTTTTTCTTGTCCTGGGAAGCCCCAAATGGACACACCTCTCAAGATGTGGTATTACCAGTCTCTCAGATGTGGTCTCCTGCAACCCAGAGCCCCCAAAAAAGACCTTGAAAAATGGATAACCCACCTTTTCAGATTGGTGCCTTCAGTCCTGCTGCCACCAGAGGAGTGCTGTTGGGAGGAACTGGCTGCACTCTGCTGTGAATGGTGGGGTGGATGGCATTACCTCCCAGACCTCTGGTTACAGCTGGAGTCTTCATTACCAGATGGTTTATAGCCAGTGCATGTGATTGATTTACTCCTTGCTTACATCAAATGGCAGAGGTATCTATGATTTATCCCTGCCTGACAAGGGATCCCAAAGGCTGAATTCTTATTGGGCTCCAGAGTATTTCCAGTGTCACAAAACCAAGCCTCAGCTAGCAGCCTTGTCTTTGAGGCATGGGAGGTTTGACAACCATGCACAGAGGTGAAGGTTCAGGTCATGGCTGCAGTGATAGAAGAGGCATAAAGCTAAGTCTCCCTTGTATGTTGACACTGATGTTACAGAGGGAGATGAAGATTTCACAGTGCTCTTCAAGACCTCTTCTGTAACCTGAGAGTCCTGTCTTTCAGCAAAACACATTTGAATGCCAGGCTGAGTTACTGCTGTGTATGTAATTATTGCTCAATTCACATACACAGACAATGCACCAAATACCGTGTAATTAGTTCGCAGCACTTTGGGATAAGTCAGCTATCAAAGGAACTGTTCTGTTCCATTTGGTTTTATGACCTGGCTGTGTGTCTGCAGAGAACCACAGTGATATTAAGCAACAGGAGGCATAAATTTGCACTGCCTTCTTACCTGATGACTAGTCAGGCTTGCAGCTAGTCATTATTTCTATATCCATAAGAGGTTTCTTAAGCCAGGTAGAGCACGGTTATTTAGATAATTAGAATTAAACATTTGAGATGCATCTGGTGAAAGTCAAATATGATTCCACTGTTATGGGCCTCTTCCCAAGTTTAATTATCATAATTATGCTAAGGGAATGCTGTAAGAAGTGGGGGTGGAAGAGGCCAGCTGATGGAAATAGGCAGCACTGAGCAAATTATTCTATGGCTGAAAACCTTTAAGAGGCCAAATCTTTAGAGGTGAGCAGAATAAGTACTACCAGTTGAAGTTTTCATACCCGAGATCTTTGCAAGCGTGGCTGTCGAGTGCCTAAACTTGAGCATTCAAACATCATCTATAAAACGTTGGGAAGTTCTTGGAAGAAATATATGAAAAGGGTACTGGAATTGAAATGATGTAAAATTAGAACTCGGAGAGCCTGTATGTGCTCCCCTGAGTCAGATACTATCTTACTGTGTTATTCTGACAGCTCTGAAAGGTAACTCAGCTAAGTGGTAATGCTGGTCTTGGGAAGTGATTCAGGGGTGAGGCTCCTGCATCACTGTTCATTTCAGTGTGATCTAAACACAGCAGCTGTAGGGACCAGACCCTGATATTCAGACCCTTCTTGCTAACCCCCACCTGCATGTATGCACACAAAGGCTCACATAAGCACCTCTGGCAGCTCAGCAGCTGCTAGGCTCTCCCTTCTGCCCCTGGGATCTCTGCTGTTGGGTGGAAGCAATAGGAGTGATGTGCTGCTGTTGCCACTTGAGGATGGGAGAGATGTTTGTGTATGAGGGAGAGGGGAAAAATAGAGTAGTGACTCTGTGGAGAAATAACTTCTTCTTCCAGCACCCAGTTGCTTGTCTCTCCTGGTCTCCAGAGGCAGCATGTGCTGCGTGCCTGCCTGCTGCTGTGGGCTCCAGCCATCTTCCTCCTCTGCCTGAGGCAAGGGCATCAGGACCTGCTGCCCAGCCTGAAAGCTGCCAGAAGGACCAGGCCAGTGCACCAACAGGCCATGCTGACCCAGGTCCTACGGCCCCATGCAGGGAGTTGTTCAGACTATTCGTTTTCAGTGTAGTGGGAGACAACTGGTTAAATATATCCAGCAAGAGAATAAGAAGGGGAGTAGGGAAAAAACAAAAGGGAATGGGCTATCCACCAGCACCTGTAAATATGCCAGTTCAAATGTCTCGTTGCTGGTGTCTTTGGTCCTGCAGGAGATGTGTGTCAGTCAAGAGCTGCTTGCCTGCATGATATCTTTTCCTTGGCAAGACATATCTGTCACTCTTAAACCAGTGACATCCTGCTCTCTTTCAGAAATAACTGTCACTCAAAAGGCATTTTGTGTGATTGATATTTGTCTGATTAGTTATTAAGCAACACAATCACTTCTTCTGCGGTGACTATTCTTGCAGAAGGGAAAATTACCTGCTTTGTTGTATGGTCCCTTTCTTTATTTTTTATTTCAGTAAGTATTGCAGGGACTGTTTGGTTTTGGTGCAAATGTGAAGGTGAATAATTAGGCTTTAGGTCAATGGACTTGAACAGCTGTCAGTGTCTATGCAGACATCCTGTACAAATTCTAATTAAAAGGATGCTGTCATAGTGCTAGAGCATTTGGTATAGCAACTCATTACAATCACAACTCAAATAATGGCAAAAGAGATTATTTTGGAACAAGGGAAAAAAGGGTGCTTCTCTGCTAACATCGGAATAAAGGAGATTATCTGTGAGCTGATGAGGAATGGATGTATTAGCAGAGGCGAGAAACTCATTGGCAATGCTGACATGGTGTCATGCAAGAGCGTAAAGACACTGATACTGCGAGAAAAGGCAAAAGAGGTAGGGAATCCATGAGATGAGGGGGGAACAATCTGTGTTTCTGCTGTAAAAGGCAATTGTCATTTCGACTTTTGAATTCTAATAGCATTTTGTGCCTAATAGTAATAGATTATCATGCCAGTCTCTGCATCTCACTGAAGTGAAATACTAGGATTACTATGTTTCTTGTTAAAAAGATAAGCAAGACAAAGTGGAAAGAAGATTAAGTACCTTTCCCAGGGATTCACAGCAAATTATTGCAGAGCTGAGAGAAGAACTGGGCATTGAACAATTAGCTGTGAACTCCTTGAGTGTTTTCTCTCTCCTGGGGACTTGGTGGACAGGTGAGGAAGAGAGAATGAAGTGTTTGCTCTCTTTTCTTCCCTGGTTGTGTTGGGCTGGAAGACCTGAAACTTGTGGAGAGAATGTGAGCATTGCCAATAGTCAAGCTAGTGGGAGAAGGTGTAGAACACTATTTTACAGCCATTACGCGGCAGGATGCAGCCTGTCTGGATTGATTATGTTTTGCATTGAGCTTGCACTGACAAGAATTTCAGTGCAGGCCACCCTTGTCTGTAAAATATGCAGATGACGGCTATGCTGGGAGAAGCTGCAGTTATATCTGCAAAGAGGGACAGCATCCACCTTCCACCCCACCATGCTGGAATAACCAGAAAGGTATGAGCCAAGAGAAGAAAATGAGGTTCAGCTTTGAAAAATGCAAGTTAAGTCATCTGCAGACATGCAAGCCCAAAATGCAAATACTCTCAGAAATGTATGAAGCAGCAGAGATCTGAAATAGAGAGGGATGTGGTACTGAGCAGTCAGGATTTTGCTGTATGAGACAGCAGAAAACCCATCCAAACTGAAGAAACTTTGGCTCTGTATGCAAAGCCATCAATGATGCATCTTAGCAAGATGGTAATTTATTTCTCTATAGCTCCATTCCTGGGAGTATGGGATTACTCTTTTTGTCTGTTTCCTGTGGATAACAAAAAATGCAAAAAGCCAACAATTTTTCTCCAGAATTGCTCAAAATCAGAAGAGCAGGTGCACTGAAATGAGATGGGTTGCTAGGACTAGGAGGACAATGTTTGCCTCTGTTTTTCATATTAAAGTTTGAATAGCTGTTGCCTTGGGGTGCCTAAGTGTTACTGAGCAGTCCTGTTGAAGGCAATGAGGACTTGCCTGTGCATAGAGGCATTAGAGGAGGCTTGAATATGCTGTGTAACTGTGGTAAAACCAGGGGACGAACTTGAAGAAGGTAATGGAAAATTAGTTCAAGCATTTTAAAGAAATGAGAGGTACAAAAAGGTCAGAATCAAACCGCTCTGACTCCAGGGTACCAGAGCATGTTAATCTCTGAGGATGTGAAGAACTCTGTGCAGAGCCTGGCAGGTGGGAGGTGTATCAGTCCTACATTGTCATGGCAGCTCACAAAGATTGTCTTTTTCCTCCCTGGGTCCTGCAGTGTCCTGAACCGCACCCCTCCCAGCCTCATCCAGGAGATCATCTTGGTAGATGACTTCAGCTCAGATCGTAAGTATGGACCTATTTCTGTTGCACTTATTTCTTACCTTCTGTTTTTCCTGGTTTTGGTTGCTCTGTTCAGTCCCCCTCCTACAGAGAGATTCCCTCTTGTCTGTATGCAAGAGAAAAAGAACAGGAAGTTTTCCTGTGTTTAGCTTACATCCATGCATGGCAGAGGCCAGAGCTTCTTCACCTTTTTTTCTTTCCATTGGGTCTGTCCTTTCTGTCAACTTGGCAGTTTTGGCCAGGTTGCCAGAGATCTTTGTATAGTTTCAGTATGCATCATACTGTGAGCTGTTTAGTGCAGATATGTATATAGCAAGGGTGCACATGAGCAGAGTGGGAAATTACAAACCAAGAGGGAGCAAGAACACACTATGGAGCCTACAGAAAATTGCTGCCTGTGGTTCTGCAGGTAAACTGGGATGAGAATGCCTGCCTCTGAGATAACCAGGTGTCCCTGTGGGAGGCCATGGAAGGGTAAATGCTTTTGACAGCACCATACCTTCTCCTGCAGCTTGGCACATGGATGGAGTGTCATCTGCATGAGTCCACCAGACCTGCAGACTGGAGGCTATGGACTCTTTCCATCTGTACAGTTGCTCTTGCTCCTGGCTGTTGTGTAGTAGTGGTGAGGTGGTGGGGACAGAAGACTTCTTGCTTCTATCATGATATGCACTAGATTCAAGGACAATCCAGTTGTGTGCCACTTATAATAATTGATAATTACTCCTTCAGAACACTTTACAGATAGCTGAGAATGCCCACCTTGACCTGCTGAGGTAAGGAAGCATTGCTCTTACTAAATGCTTATGTAGCTTTGGCAAATTAAAAAATAAATAAAATCTAAAGTGGATGCTGACATTAGGGATTTAAGTTTCTGAGGGCCTGGAAATGTGATTTGGGTAACATCTGAGCTGCGCCCAGCTCAGCTGTTGGAGTTGGGTGCTCCTGAGCACTTCCAACAAATAACCACAAGTGTTCCACATTTAGCACCTAAAAACTCAGTTCTCAATGGCCAAAGTTTCCAGATCAATACTGATGGATTTTTGGTACCAGAAACTCCGATTTAGGCTCATAGGAAAATAGAAAGATTTTCAAAAAGCTCCATCCCATGACAACTCTCATTTTTTCACTGGCAGCTGGATATGTGTGGATGCAGCTACTCCTCTGAGGTACCTGCATGGAGGCACTTTAGAACATATTTGAGGTCTGACACTTTGCTTTAATATCCATCTCAGTCTCTCCAAAGATACAGAGAGTCTGTCAGCTCTGGCAAGGAGTTACAGTTAGAGTGATATGCTCCATTAGAGTCATTCACCAGTTAGAGGTGAATGACTTAATGTGGATTCTTATACCTGAAGTTGTGACTTGGCCAAGATGAGTGTTGCCTTCCCTTATAGCAGATGTCCAGCAAAATCTTCATGCTCTGTAATTAAGAGCACCTTCCACTTCACTTGGATGATGCAGCAGCTGCCAAGATGCCCACAGTTTTTCAGATTGCCCATATCCTTGAGAATGGAAATGCTTGTGCAGGAACATGCCAAGAGATGCAATTTGGGTAATAGTCTTTGCATTCTCTCCAGAGCACTCAGTCTGCAGCAGAATGACAGAGGGAAAGGGGGGGTAGCGAGATATGAAAGGAACACAGAATAAATATGGAAGCTGGGGTGAACTTGGTGGAGTAAGGAAAAGAGCAAGTTAGAAATTGTTATTCCTATGACCTCTGCTAAGGCAGGAATAGAGAGATGATATTTGAGAACTAAAGACTCAGAGCTCATTGGTAAGCTGGGCCAGAGCCAGGAGCTGTTCCTTCCCATCATCTTTCCTGGGCAATGTAAATGTGGGATGCCGCAAGCTGCCAGCACAGCCCTCGGTTAGGCATCCATGTATTAAAGTAATGGTGTCTCCAAGGAAGTGGGTCACATCCCTGTGGTCTTTATCAAAAGAATTCAAGCAGAAACTGCCCCCAGAATAAACGGTGGGAAATGCCCCGATGAGCTGTTGAAGGCAGAGAGCAGGTGAGATAACTTGATATGACAGGACATTCTTTTACTTAGCACTGGTGATTTGTAGCCCAGGCTCCCTACAGTCCCTCTGCTTTATCAGTGCTTGGTGCCACATTGCCAGCACATGTCCCATTGTTCTTGTGAAATGCTGAGTGCAGGAGGGCAAAGGCCTGGCTGCTCAGAGTATTGGGAAACACAGGCTCAGCTGTCCGAGGAGGGCAGCAAGCAAGTAGTGCTCTTCTGTGTGCTCTTTAGGCAGCAAGATTAAGGCCATCAGGCTGATTAATGTGATGTTAAGTGAAAGTAGAATTTCCCCTCCTGTGGAGAAGCAGGAAAACAGTTAATTTGAGCTCTCTGTTGAAGCCAAATAATTCATGCATGTGTGCCAAATGTGCGGTTTTTTGCCTTTCCTAAGCTGAGGACTGCCATCTCCTTACCAAGATCCCAAAGGTCAAGTGTCTACGAAACACCCGGCGAGAAGGTGAGTGTGGAAAGCTTTGTAAGTACAAAGATTGTGCAGGTTTTCCCACATGGCCCGGTTTGCTTGCCTGCTGCTTACATGTTGTTTCTTATGGTTACAGCTTGTTTTTCAGTATAAGGATTTGTTATCCTAGTTTGGAGGCTCTGTGGAGGGAGAACCTGGCTTATCAACTCTCAGGCTTCAGGGCTGTCATTTCATACTTCAAGTAATAAGAAGTGGTGTCCAGAGGCCGTGGCTAGAACAACAACTACATTTTCAGATCTTTATAAATTTAGATGCAGATATAAATCCTGTCCTTTCAAACTCAGAGTTTAACAAGCCACCAAGGAGATGTGGAAAAAGGAAAAACAATCACATATATATCATAACGAGTTACAGTTATGGGAAGTTATTTCTCCTGTATCTCCTATGTGCATAAATGATAACTCTGACTTTCTGAGCTGCTCTTTAGTTTGACTCACATGTGCTGACTTATGTCTAAAATTGCTGGTGCACAGCAGGCCTGGAGCAAGGATCTGGAAGGGGAGACAGGAATCATTGTTTAGTTCACAAAGAACATCTCAGGTAGTGGGATGGCCTGTAAGAAAGTAAGGAGACATCTGAGAGCCAAGTTGACATCTCTGACCACAGGGCAGAATAAAGGACCAACGGGAATAAAGCAGATAAGCAGTAAGAAAGGCAGCAGAGTAGTGCTTGGTCCTACGGAAGTGGTGAGAGGAACAGTAGGGTGCTCTAATGGCAGAGACACTGAGAAGGCAGCAACAAGGTACCAGTGGGGAGGACTGGAAGGGGGTTATCATCACAGCAGGAATCAGATGGAAGCTCAGTGGCATGGACAGAAGTGACAGGCAAAATCATTGTTGGTGTGCTGCTCTTTCCCTGTGATAGCTGCACACAATATTTTCTCAGAAGGATGCTCAGCTGTTTCCCTTCCTAACCTTCCTGCTCCTCTGTATCCTTTCCTTACTGTAGGGCTGATTCGTTCTCGTGTGCGAGGAGCTGAAGTGGCTGCTGCTGACATCCTCACGTTCTTGGACAGTCACTGTGAAGTCAACAGTGAGTGGCTGCAGCCAATGCTTCAAAGAGTAAAAGAGGTGAGCACCATGTCCCTCCCTGGTATGGATGGAGCTGGCCTGCCTTGTGCTGGTGGATCCTCTGCCCTCAAATGCCACCAGCAGTACTGGTGAAGAGAAAGCTTGCCCAGATACTCCTCAGGCAGGCTGTTACAGAGTAAGGTACAGCCCGAGCTAGATGGGCAAGAGATCCTGGGTGGGCTAATATATTCATCTGCCAGTGTGGTGGGGCAGGAGGTGCTGAGTGATGGGATGCAATGGTGAATGCTTGAACCACTGCAGTGCATCAGCAGGTGACATGAGGTACTGTGCTTCCCAGTCGTGTTAACCTGTACATAGGATAGCCACTTTGGCAGCACACACTGTGAAACTTTTCCATGGCTGCCATCTTCCCTCTCACTGCTGGACCTTCCCGTCTGCCTTGTCACTGCCAAAATCTTTCTTCCATTAGTGCTTCCACTGAGCTGCCAACACATCCCACCTGCATGTAGACAGCTTCCTAGCACAGAGTAGCTGCCTGTGAGCGCAGGGATGTCCCTTTGCTGGTTCACTTGGCAAAAGATTGATGGGAGGCTGGAAGACTGAAAAGGAGACAAGAATATTGGCAGCTGTCACCCTGATTGTACTGAGGGCTGGAGGGGCAGGCATACAGGTCTGCTGTAAGAGCAGACTGAGGAGAGGTGATGGGAGAAGTCACAGCCATGCTTGCAAGTGGCTGAGATTTATCCTCTCCTCTGAAAGGAAGATGCCATGGATTAATGTGCCCCAGGAGAAGGGCTGGAGGCTTTAATGCCTTGTATTTATGTCTGGTTGGTGTAATATGAAGGAGCGGAAGAAGGTGAAACTTCAGGATTGAAGACTTAAAAGCTTCTGCTTTTTAATCCTGCTCAATAAATCTTCCATGTCAGAAGCCCATAAATGTTTATTTTACTACTGCTCTTTAAGGCAAGCTGCAGAAACAGCAGCATAGGGGTCCCTAAGCAGAAAGGACCTCTCTAGTTTCTTCAGGGAAGGATCTGAGATGCAAAAGCTTGGGTGCTAACTCCAGTATTATTTAGTGAGTAGATTTCAAGTCAGGCTATTTTTGACCCACTTCCTATATTTCTGCTGTGCATCTTAATTCAGCTTTCAGTCTTACACTACCCAATCCTTGTGTCAGCTGGCTGGATCAGTGGCTGGAGCACCAGGTGGGTGCTTGGGGGCTCAGGCTGGGCAGACATACTCCAGCTGTACAGCCATCCCAACATAGAGGGGAATAAGCTGTGACCTAGGACGTGCCATCCTGGCCAAATGTGCTACAGCAGAAGGAACCAAAGCAAAGCACAAAGTGAAGGTTTAATAGGAAAGACACAGAGCTGGCAGCTACCCGGTAACAAGATGCTGTTTCTGGCATTGCCAGCTGTTTCATCACATATATGAGTTATCACAAGACTGTCTTTATTGCCCTGTCTCATGATGTTGAAAAATTGTTATAATCCCAACTCCTACTTACTAAAAGGATTGCAAGGGAAAACTGTAAATTTCTATACCCTTAATGGCAATAAAGTATTCCCAATATCTTAATATTATAATTACTTTTTCAATGTACAATATGATTCTTATGTATGGGGTCTTGATTCATAGTACTAGTTCAGAAGATGCTTTATTAGGGGGTTAATAATTTCGAGGCTGATTATAATTTTATTATCATTATAATAATTTATTAACATTTATTTATCTTCACTATATTATTTTTCATTATTGATGATAATTCAAGAATGGCTGACCAGAAGATATGTTGTCAGTAGATATCAAAAGCAAACACAAAACATCTGGGACAATTATTCATGCTCTGTGACTTGGGCAGGAAGTAAAGAGCTGTTTCTTAGCAGCAGTCCTGGCTTTTGGTGTCCCAGGCTCCATTCCCCACATCTGTGGCATGCAGCTGGCTAGTACTGCCATGTTTGGATGTCTTGGTCATGGATCCCTTGCTCAGCTATGAGAACTGTACTGGAGAAGCCAGACAAAGATTTACATGTGCAGCTTTGTGTTTTCTGATCTCTTGCAGCTTTGCCAGACATTCAAGGAAAACCAGACTCAGTTTTTTTCCCTTTCTTTCTCTCCCTCAGGATTATACCCGGGTGGTGAGTCCAATCATTGATGTTATCAGCCTGGATAATTTTGCCTACCTGGCAGCATCAGCAGACCTAAGGGGAGGTGGGTATAATGAGTGGCTTCTGTAAGTTAGGCCTGAGGGATGGTGCCTGAAAACTGATGTTCTCTTCATCTTTCCAACAAAACGGAGTGATGGTCTTTCGTTATGGATTCTCTGTCCTCTTTTACCTGCAACTGCAACAGCCTTGCAGTTGTTCTTGTGGTCACCCACACTGACCGGTACTTTTCTTCCTCTTCTATGGCTGAGGATAGCTGCTCTGCTGCTTGCCTCCTAAAGGCTACTCGTTCTGTGGCTACCCTTAGCACCAGTATAGTGTTAGTGACTGTGCTGTGCTCAACTATCCACCACAAGCCAACTATAAATAAACTATAATCTTGAAAGATGTGATGCATACCGTGATCTGCAGGCTTTTCTTTGCAAAAGACATAATGTCCCACATTGAAGGAGGCTTTGATTAAAGCCTCACGACTTTGGCAGACAGAGAGGTGTTAAGGCAGATTGGCCAAAATGCGATTGCATCTCACACTGACAACACCCTTCTGAAGATGTGGAGTGGAATTGAGCAGAGATTTATAATGCTAAGGGATGCCAGACAGAAGCTGGTGAATTCTATGTTAGGGTAGACTCTTGCCATTTTGGGTAGACTGTGAGGGAGGTCAGGAAAGCAAAGTAGGGATGGCCTGTGATGTAAAGGTGGGGACTATTGCTGAAGCTAGTAGAAAAACAATAACCAAAATCTATTTGATGGGTTTTTTTGCTTCTCAGGGTTTGACTGGAGCCTTCACTTTAAGTGGGAGCAGATTCCTATAGAGCAGAAGATGTCCAGGACAGACCCAACTCAGTCTATAAGGTAGCCGACGCTGGACAGTGTGCAGTCCTCCAAATGCTTTTACTAAGTCTTTACCTGCATGGCAAGGAGTGCACAGGGATTGCCTTGCTGAGGACAGAATGCCACAGTGTTCTCTCGATGTCAACAAACTCTTCATGTTGTTTTCTGAATGTATTGAGGTGTATATCCTAATTCTGAGCATATTACTCTCTGAATATTGTAAGAAAGCAATTATATACTATCCTAGGCTTGCAGGTGTGCCACCTCTTCAAGACACCGCTTCTATATGTTGGTTTTTGTGGTCTCATTCACTCAACAGTCTGAATGCCTCAGAAATCCCTTTGGGGGCTTTTAATTACCTCCATCTTCCAGGTGAAGAATTAAGGAATGAAGCAGCTAAACAGTCACCCAGCAAGTGTAAAGCAGACCTGGCAACTGAATCTTGCTTAGTAATTTGGGTACAGAATTTTTCCCTTCCTCCCCTAAAATATGCATGTCCATGGACAAAAGAGATTCTGTTGGCTGAACAGTTATTGCCAGCTTGGCTGCGGTGTACGTGGCTCTCAGGAATGTAGAATGTGACCAATCCTGATATAGAAAGTTAGTGTTTGTCTGTATAGGCAGACAGATCCCTGTTTGTAGCATAAAAGTATCATTCCTCTTTGTAGTTTGCGACCCTCTGTTTTGTACTCCAGAAGCAACCAGCTTGCTAACAGAAGAGCAGTAACGTGCAGCAGTGACTCTCACACTGTGTCTAGTAGATGAACACAGTCATGAGACAGTGCTGCTGCCATTTCTTCACACTCTGTGTATTTGTATAAATGCAAAGGATGCAGCGTCACTTATGTAGTGCTTGCAGGACCATGCAACAAAGGCAGGAAAGTGAGGGGGGTCTCAGAAGCCTGCTGCAGGTTCAGGTCCCAGCTCTACTATTTTCCTTTTTTAAATGAGATACAATTTGTCAGGCCTGGACAAATTGCCCCCTCTCTCAAATGAAAATGGTGGTGCAGCATATATTTGTGATTATTTTGTATGGGCATTTGTTTTCTTTTCCAGAACCCCTGTCATAGCAGGAGGAATCTTTGTGATTGACAAGTCCTGGTTTAACCACCTGGGAAAATATGATACTCAAATGGACATCTGGGGAGGAGAAAATTTTGGTAAGTTTAGGATGTTTCAGGAGAATGACACACTAATGCAGAACCACTTCCCAGTCTTCATTGCCTACCAGAACCTTCCTTTTAAGCGATCTGATCTGTATGTTGGTGTAAGGCTAGGGACATGGTCAGGTAACCCCTATGTTGGTCAGAATTCTGTCGCTGTCAGCTTCAACCAAAGTGAACGGGACATAGCTTTTTGTGATTAGGGCTATCACTCTCCTACAGGCATATGCACTGGTGTTTCCACAGTATGGGTATGAAACAGGAGCCTCCTGTTATTTAAATTATTGCTTGTTTTTGGAGAGTATTCCTCCAGTTCTCCACTTGACAGTCTGTGTTGTCTCAGCTCTGAAGTAGACGGTCCCTCATATGTTCTCTTCTTACTCCTGCTCCTCTTTCCCAGATAAGTCTGGGTTGCTCTCCCAGCTTGATAGGTCAGAAGGATATTTTTTCCTAGTAAAACAAGACTTTCTATAAGTGGAATTCAGGTACAAAAAGATTCCAAATGAAAATATTTTGAAGCAGGTTAGGGCATCACAAGCATCTGAGGAATTCAGAGGCCCAAAGTTGTCTGTACACTGAAGTGCTGTTATCTTAGAGGGCATGGTGCTTTAGCCCATCTCCTTGCACTTAATTCCAGGCACAGGTATTCCATTTATCTTTCTTTGCCTGGTGTGAAGGGATGCTGCAATGTCACTAGGTGTTAGTGACAAAAGGAAGAAGAGTATCAAAAATAAGTTCATGGATACTTCAAGTATTCTGTGCATTCATTTAGAAATGACGCAAGTGGAGCTGAAGGGATAAAAGCCTGTTGACTGTTTTGCAGTCAACTTAAATAGACTTTTCTGTAGCTAACACTGCCCCCCAAAAAATCTGTTTTTACAACTTCCATAAATGTCACAGATTTGTAAATAAAACCCTTTAAAGAACAATTATATGCTGTTTCCTAGCACCTGAGGGACCAATTAGAAAGAAAGAAATAGTCAAGTAGAGGGAACTTTAGTGTCTCTGAATACAGCTGGGAGAGCTGCCTCTTTCTGAAATCCTCTCTGAAACCAGGAATGTTTTTGGCTGATAACAGAATATCAAGGCACTACTTTTTAAAAACAAAATATCTAATAATGAGTGGCTGTGTTCTCTGTTTTCTGAAGTCTTACTTCAGGTTATGATAGTCATGATTTTTAACAGAGATATGAAATGGGGCTGGCACTGGGATCTCAGCAGTGCTGGTAGCATCAGCTAAGCACTGTAGGCAGAAGTCAGAGGCATCCTTTACCAACAATGAAGATCCTCTCTCCTGACCCTCAAACTCCTCTGCACAGCCAAACTCAGCTTCATGCTGTCACTAGTCCTACTCCAGCTGCAGAGCCAGACATTGACCATCCTGCCAGCCTCTGAGCTGCAACTGTGTAGAAGCTGTAAAGAATGGAGAAGAATATTTCTTCATGCTTCTGGCTGTCTGCTTCTGCCCACGTGGGAGCCCAGCCTTGCTGTCTGGTGTGCATGTCAGTATCTTGATGCTAAGCAGAGCTCTCTGCCGTAAGTGGCAGTAAATTACTTGCACACCCACAGCCCTTCTTGCAGGTAAAGCTGCTTAAAACCTCCACAGAATTGCTTCATTCTCCTTCAAATTGCTCTCTCAAAGCCTGGCAGCGGCAGGGCTAGGCTGTGTGGGACTGGCTTCCCAGTTTTGCCTTGAGAGGTTTCCGTGTAAATTTGTTGTCCCCTATCCTATCCTGTACCTCCACTCTTCACTTAAGGAGGGCAAAGCTAAGTGCACAATGCTTTTTCATGTGGCCTGTCCATGAGGTGCATTGCCTCACCACCACTGTGATGAGGGATATGGGAAGGTATTTTAAAAGCAAAACAGACTACTTTTCCATTTCAAAGCTAACTTTTGTTCAGCTCTTCAGCATAATGTGGGGCAACAAATCAACCAGTGGCTTTTACATCAGGCCTGCTGCTGTTGCACGTAAGAGGGGTAGAAACCAGCCTGTATTTAACAACAAAAAGTACTAATCTTTGTAGTATTCAGAATGATTAATTGACCCATTGGGAAAAAAAAAAGCCAGTTTTCCATATTTAACTGAAAACTAGGTTTTGTTACATGTCAATCATGTTCTGAAACAGTAGTTTTGCTACAAATTACAATTTTGAGGGGAATGAAAGTGTTTGGATAAGGTCACCATTTGCGAATGAGGTGGGAGGGTGGTTCTGACTAATTTGGGTGGGTGAGATGGGCCACTCCCTGCCCACAAAGGCTATTTTTTAATCAGCTTCTTCTTTGAAACTTTTTTCCATGAGGAAACAGGATAATCATCACCATCATCATCATGATAAGAGAATGTATGGCTAGGGCACAAAGCCCAACAAGCTCTGCACATACTGCAGATACACAGAAATGATCCAGCCACAATTACCAGATGTTTAAATGTCCTTCCAGCTGGGTGTGAGCTGATAAACCCTTTTTTTTTTTTTTAACTGTGATGGGGAAAAGCCACAGTGATTAAGTCATTTAAAGCACATATGGACCAGGTCATGTCCTGGAAAATACACAGCAAGAAGTTCTCCTATGCTTTCCATCAGCAGATAGATGAAAGTCCTTAATAAGCTATGTTTGATCTCCATTTTCTCTTCTGCATTCTTTTGCCCCTTCTTTAAAGTTTTTCATCATTTGCAAACCTGGACATGCGATCTGTCTGTATGCCTAAAATGCCAACATGGCATGAGGAATCCTCCCTTGAGAAATGGACTCACTTTAAGTTACACATGCTAGATTGAGAGTTTTGTTTTTGTTTTAGGCTGGAGTGAGTCAGAACCTCATTCCAGGAGGGCAGATGCCAGCTGGACACACTTCCAGACAGAAACTCATATCTTGGCCTTTTTTTTGTTGTTTTTAAAGCCCTTCCTCTCTCAGAAGCCTGAACTGTCTGTTGAAAAGAGGCTGAAAATAATAAGCTCTAGGAAAGAGTCAGAAAGAGACTGACTAGTAGGAGCTAGTAAGAAATGGCACAAAATAGTCTAATAAAATGTTTTTTTTACTTAGAAGCTATTTTGAATACACCATCTTCTCCCCCCTCCCCCCCCCCCAAAAAAAAAAAAAAAAATAAATGCACTGTTTAAACAACCTTTCCCAAGAGCTAGAGAGGAAAGCTATGGGGAAAGGTGAAAGTTGGGAAGATGTGAGTGTGTGTACATGCTTTGAAACAGTCATTAGAGCTGGATGCATAATTTCTTTTTAATTTCAAAACATGAGAGCCCCATAATTCAGGCATTACTGGAGGGAGATCCCAACTGAGTGAAGTTTTTGAAGTAATCAGTTTACACAATCTGAAACCATTTTGGTAAGGACTAGCAAACTACACAGGTAATTTTCATTTTCCTTCTTCTTTCTTCTCTTCTCACCACCACATGAAACACAAAGCAGAAAGCCCCTCTGGTGTGGCAGTGATTAAACTTGCAAGGACAGTGTATAAGCTTGAGGGAGGTCACATCTCTTCTGTGATGCAAATAAGCACCTGTACATCAAAGTTCTTCTAATCCTTTAACAAAACCTTACATTTAGCTTCAGGACCAGCTGGATTTCTTCAAGTAGCAGGATTCTCTCTGTATTTTTATAGTCACACTATTATTAGAGTGATTTCTGCCCTTAGCTCCCCCAGGAGAGTCAACTGGTGACAAACTATAACCCAGTCATCCAGTTTATTTTGGGTTGAGGTTGTTTTGGTGGTGTTTTTGTTTGATTGATTGATTTTTTTGTTTTGTTTTAGTTTTGTGCTTTAGTTTTGGGTTTTTTGTATGGTTTGTTTTGTTTTGTTTTTTAAATAAGAAACAAGCAGGACAAGAACAACAAGCTACTGTAGGGTGGATAACATGGAGGTATGAGGGAGAGGACTCTGCTCTAGACATTGTCTCACTGCCTATGCCCTGATCTTATTCTCATCTTTCTCCTTGACTCCTAAACTATCTTTCTTTCTCGCATGATTTGCTTTACACAGGAAGTTCTTCCTTTTTTCTTCCATCCATGTGCAGGGCTGGAGAGTTAAAGTCCAAAACAAGGTGGGTGTGGGGGTGATCTCAGTGTGTTGTCAAATGCCATCTTGAAGGCCTGACAGCAACCACAAGGACCTGGTCAAAGGGTCTCACTGAAATGCCCAGGGGACCGAATTGAAAAGTAGGACTGGAGAAGGCTAGGAAGTGTCTGAGCCACAAGGGTTGCCTCCATTTGATCAAAGGAAGGACAGTTTTTTCCATTCTTACCATGCCATTGCTTTTCCTGGTTTTGCTGTTGGAGTTAATACATCTAGATCAGAGGGGCAAGGTTTTCAGGCACGCTACTGAATTGCTCTTCTTGGAAATGCTGCCCATCTGCAGCTGTGTGACTCTTGGGATCTCTTCCAGAGCTATCTTTCCGAGTGTGGATGTGCGGTGGCAGCTTGGAGATTGTTCCCTGCAGCCGAGTGGGACACGTGTTCAGGAAGCGCCATCCCTATGACTTCCCAGAGGGAAATGCATTGACTTACATCAAGTAGGTGTTGGGTAGTTCCTGGTAGCAGCCAGGTCATCTAAATGTTGGTCATGTCTAAATAAGCCTGAATTCTTTGTTGTCTTTCTGCCTGATGACAGAGGAGAACAGCTCATGGCTGAGCATCTCAGGGGAATCATGACTTGCTGTTTCCTGTGAACAAAGCCTGTTCCCTTCTCTGTTGTTTGTATTAGTGCATCTGGCTCTTCCTCAGCCTGCAATGGAGGCGGGGGAGCAGTAGCTCAGAGAGAGAACCTGGCCATTTGTAGATATTGCCCTACGACATGTCCCTCTGTATCAGCAGTCATCTCTGTTGTCTCTGAGGTGCTTTTGAGTCCAGAGATCTTACTGAGCTGCATGTGTTCTGAGGCAAGCCCTAAGGACAACTTCCACTGCAGGACAGGTGGGAAAAGAAAAAAGATGAGACTAAGTGCTTCAGAATGAGGGCAGCTGAGCACTGGTGTAGGGCCCTAGAGAGGTAGTGAAATCTGCATTCTTGGAGATTTCAAAAGCTGACCTGTCAAGACCCTGAACAACCTGAATTTAGTCTGCTTTGGGCAGGAGGCTGGACCAAGTGATACCTAAAGATGCTTTCCAAGCTGAATTATTCCATAGCATTATGCTAATCTGAGGAAAAGGATACTGTAAAGCAGGGTGATGGTGACCCTCACTCCAGGTGTCTCTGCAGAGGAAGTATGTGTGAAAAAAATCATGGTAAGCTGTGACTTAAAATTTTAACTTCTGAAATGAAGCAGCCTTGCAAGGCTTTGTGGACTTAACACATTCAGCCTATATCCATCTGTGCTGCCTGCTGGTTTTCCTGTGGGACTGTCCCGCACTCCCTCCTGACAGGCCTTGGTTCTGCCCCACCCAGTGCTTGCTTGCAGGGAGGACAGGATCTCCAGCAGCACTCAGCAAAGCATCTCCTCATCCCCTTGCAGGAACACCAAGCGCACAGCAGAGGTATGGATGGATGAATACAAGCAGTACTACTATGAGGCTCGGCCATCTGCCATTGGGAAGTCATTTGGAAGGTAAGGTGCCCCCAAATCTTGGTTGGAGGGCTCTAGTAAGCCCCATTGCTAGCAATAAATAAAGTTTGGATCTTCTCTGGGGCTAAGTGTGGAGAATAGAGATGCTCTGAATGGCTAGATTGCCAAGGAGGGTGCAGCTTGAGTGTCTGGCTAACAAGGTTTACTTCTAATTCACTTTATTTTCCCCCCACTGACCCTGCCAGACATTTTAAGTAGATAGACAAGAATATTTTCTAGCACAGTATGCAGCTGCCCTGAAAATGTGAGCTATGCAGTTACTGGAGCTTGATCCAAAGTTCCTGTGCAGATGCAGAACCCCAAGGCAAGCATGGCTAGCTGGAACATAGGGCAGGTTGCACTTGGCACACTCCCCTCTTTGCTGGTGGGTGGTTTGTAGGGCCGGAGAGAACATGGCCCATGGTGGGACATCTCATTTAGGAACACAACCTGGTTGTAACTTGTCTTTATCACCTTCTGAATCCACTTCTGTATAGAATTGTGTTCTTTACAGCACCTTCACTATAGCTGTCTCCAGGCCATGTGGGATTTGCTGTTATGGGCTTAAGCATTCTTTGTGACATTCTTTGTATCAATCAGCGATTGAGACCAAGACCTGGGATGAGGGGGGAGCTTGCCCTCTGTGCTAACAAACCCCTATGACTCCCAAATCAATGTAAAAGTCCCAGAAGTGGTCTGCATCTGTGGGTTCTATCTGTCAATGAGTAAGTGACTATTTTATCAATGTAAGGACTTGCCAAATGTGGTTGTATCTCAAATGTGTAGCTATGTGCACTGGGTAATGATGCATCTCCTACTTATTTGATGACAAGCAGGTTTGGTCTGACCTACACACTTTTTTGTTGTACATTGTGCTTTATTATCATGATGCATTACATATTTTTTGTACAAATAGCTTTGCCTACCTAATTTATCTGTCCTTGAGCTGACTGCAGCAGGTGGACTGGGGCCAAAACACAAGTAAACCTGCTGCTTGTGAAGGAAATATTGCATATTGGACATGGATATATTGCTCATGTGTCTTAGGGCCAAAACCTGAAGATATAGTTCACACAGACAGCAGTAACAGCCCTATGAACCTGCATTAAATCTAGATTTTAGAAATCAGATGCCTCTGACACCATCACTGTCAACTGTGCCTAAAGTGGACCCTTCTTCGCCACAATTTTTATGAGAATATAGGATCTAAGAACATTCTTCTGAGGTATGGGCAGTACAGTGGCCTCTCTGGGCTGAGGATGACAAGAAGCATGGGTACAGTTAAAAGTCCTTCCCAACACACAAATGTAGTGTTATAGTTTGAAGAGGAGAGTCCCTAGTGTCACTGCTCAGTAAGACAGCTTATGGGAAGCCCTTTTTGTCAGCCAATTAAAGCCAAGCAAATCAGCAGTGGGAGGACTGCTGCAGCAGACAGTTACTGAGATGTTGAGTTAATTTCCATTTATACTCCTACCTTTTCCCAAAACTGCTTAGTAGCAAATAATGATGTTCTTTAGGTCTGAAACCCAATCTGAGCCTGGAGCTGCTGCCATGACCTAGAGATGTGCTCTAGCATACACAGGCAAACTGTTGGTATATACCTGAGCACAAACACTTTCTAGGCCTTTTCAGGAGCAGATTGCTGTGCAAGTTTCATGGTATACCTACCACTCAGAGGCAGAAATGCTTTCCTGGTCCTACAGTAGTTTTGTAGGACCTGGGGTTTACCATCATTCTGAGCCAATGGAAGTGCAAGAATTGTTCTCTGAAGGTGTTTGTCTTCCATTTCTATTTCCTGCCATTTGCCTCTCTCCTCCTTTTCACCTCAGGTCACTGCTAGTGCTCTGAACCCAGCAACAACAACGTGGGAGGATGAGTAATGGGAAAAAGTTGTATAGTCTCCCTCAAACCTCCTGGCCAATCTTCATTGTTCCCCTCCCTCGTGTTCACTACCTTATCCTCAACAACCTGCCTGTGTTTCCAGTGTTGCAGACCGAGTGGAGCAGCGTCGCAAACTGAACTGTAAATCCTTCCAGTGGTATCTGGAGAACGTCTACCCAGAGCTCAAGTGAGTCACTTCTCTGCTTGTAGAAATCTCTGAAGGAACTAGGAGGTGGGTCACAATGAGAAGATGAGCCTTGGTGGCAGCGGGCAAAAGAGAGACTTATGCTTGGAAAAGGTTTTCATCTATTATTCCTTTTGGTGAGAAACCTGTGATTTTATGGATTGTATCATCACAACAACCCTGCAAAAGGTTTGTTGATCCTTACTACTGGGAGCCCTCTGCTCTGCCCCACACAGCTGTCCCCCAAAGATGTGCAACAGTGGTTTTTTTCAGAGGTGTGGGGTATAGACAAGTAACAGAGCATTACATCCCTCCCAGATAAGGCTTTGTCTCTGCTTTTTGAGTGCTCTGCCTGGAGGTAGTTGAGCCAAGCAGAGCCGGACAGCCTCAGTGCAGAGGTGTGGGTGGTTCAGAGAACACTGTGGTGGATACCAGAACCAGCTGGGCTTTCCCTACCCCAGGTCAGGATGCAGTAGTGTTGTGTCATTGCTCTGCTGGGAGGTAGCCTGGGAAGAGCTGTGTTGTTAGCACTTGCTAGTTAACACACCCTGGCAATGCATCTTTACATCTCAGTCTGTAGCGAACATGGGTTGAGGCTAAAACATTCAGCTGTAGTCTGGCCTAGACAGATCTTGCCTCTATTGCTACCAATGAGATAGTGAATATGTGCTAGCACTGGGGGAGGAAGACTCTAGAAGGAAGCAGAAACAGGGATAAAGCAGTGTGGATATGGCTTTTTACTGGCAATGGCCTCTGTCGGAAGAGACATCCCACTAAATTGCCTGGGGTATACCTAAAGGTGCTGTTATGCTGTTTAAAACAAAATGGTACCAGCCCTTTGACCAAGTTGTCCTTTGACTTTTGCCTCCTCCAGACATTTCCAGGGGACAGTTTGATATAGTTCATTTTCTGTCAAATAAAGGGGACTGTGTTTCAGTCAGGGGCGAGACACTCCCTTCTAAATGTGAAAGTGCTTTGGACATTTCTGTTTATGAAGTGCCATGCAACTGTCATTTTACTTCAAGGATTCCTGAAAAGGAGTTAATTCCAGGAATAATTAAACAAGGAGGAAACTGCCTGGAGTCTTGGGCACAGGATACCACAGGAAATATGTTGGCTGGCATGGGAAACTGCAAAGGGACAGTGAACAATCCACCTGTCTCTCAGGTAAAGCAGGCTTCAGTTTGGTGTTTTGCTGCTGCTTCTGATCTTTTTATTACCTGGAAATTAAAAGGCATCTCTGGCCTTGGTGGGTTCATGCAGAGGTGAATGAAGGAAGAATTTGAACCTGTTAGTTCAATAGTAATGAACCTGTTATTTTAATAGTAAGCAGAAAAAGAAATTGTGCACAACTCTGAGCTCTTCTGGCTCAACAGGTCCAGCAGTCAGGCTTAGAATAGGAAGGTTTTCATCACTCAAAAGCAAAAGGTAGCACTTGAATACTCAGGGGCGTCACTAGTCTGTTCAGTAGGCATGCTACCAGGACTGGAGTCATGTAGCTGTTCCCGCTCAGAATGTTGCTTGGGTGTGCACTGCTTCATCATACAACCCATGAGATAGGGTCCTGGGGTATGGCTAATACCCTGGCACATTGGTAAGAGATTTTCCCAGGATCAGAATCTTTTCTTGGACTATCAGTTCATCTGTAGCTGCAGATGGATGAAATGATGCTGTTTTACAGATGTGTTTCAGTATAAAGCCCAAATAGAGTTTGAATAACCAAGACCTCACATGTAGTAATTTGGTGCAGCTCTCCTAACTGCAGTGGAGCTGTGCTGGTTTGTATCAGCTGAAGATCGGCACTCAGCCTCTTTTGCTGACTGAAAGCAGCAGGGAAGCAGCTTGAGAAAGTTAAAGGTCACAGTAGGATATCTCATGCCAGAAAATACATATTCACATCTGTTAACTGTTGGAAACTAGTTTGCAGCCAAATTCAATATGCCATTCAATCTGACTCGTTCTATGCCGTTACCATTTGAAACCTCTGAAACTTATTTCATTTTTCATTTCTTCCTTGGGGAAAGTATAATATTATTAGTGGATTGGGTTGGGTATCCATCTAGTGAGAGGAGGGAAAAATGAAGTGGTTTGTGCTTTGTGTGTGCCAGTGATGTATATTAGCCCACGGATACACTTGCACATGTTTTGCTTTGCTTGATAATCTGCAGGTGCCAGATACCTGTTACAGAGCACGTCTCCTGTGTAAAATATGCAGAAGCAGTTGCATGTCATGTAAATCTGGCTCAGAGTCCTCCCTGCTTTGTAGGTGGGGAGTTGCATGGGGTCCAAGGTTAATCAGGCAGCTCAGGTGCTTATGAGAGCCAGCTGCAGGCTTTGAAATTGTCATGATGCACAAAGCCTGAGCATAAACTTCTGATCAGGTGAAGACTGCTGCTGGGGGTCTTTGGTGAGAGCTGAACAAAGGATACAGGTTTTGAAATATCTGATAGATCACGCTTTTCCTTCCCCATCTGATCACCATTATGATCCTAATAGAACCTTTCTTTTTCTTATGCCGAAGGAGTGGGTATTCAGTGACCCCTTAATTAGACAGCAGGACAAGTGTATTTCCATTACCTCCTTCTCTACTGGCTCTCAAATCACATTGGAAGCCTGCAATCAAAAAGATGGCAGACAGGTACGTAACTGCACCGGTTTTTAATCCCTTCACCAGTGTTCCTACATCAGTGCAGCCTGCAGGGATGAACCTGGTACTATCAAAATATATAAAAGTTCCCTCTAACTTCTGCATCTCCCTCTTTGGTGTCTTTTATAAGCTCAGATATATGAGATTGCCTGTGACCAAAGTGGGGAGCACAGATATTAGTGTGTGGATGTCTGCTCTGCCTGGGCCCTCAGCAGCATGGGTAGCTCCAGCTCAGTTGCACCCCAGCCTCACTCTTGGATACATTTATGATCAGCCAGACTGATGTATGGATGGACCACAGCATCAGAGATAGGTAGATAAGAAGCAAATGCTTTGAAATACCCAAGGGAAGGGTGATGTGTGCTATCATCTGTTTACTTATTTAGAAGTGAGAGAAATGTGTTCTTTGTGCTGTCTTTGGGCATGTGAACAGGCATTTAAAACTGAACATGTGCAACTCACTTGAGAAATACTGACTGACAGAGCACCATATATTCCAGACTAACTGCTCCCTGAGGGAAAATACACAGCAGCAGTCATCCCAACAAAATGCAGTTCTGTGACTCTTATGCTGTTTCCAAGATGTCCACCCCTGGTCTATCAGGACAGATCAGTGATTTTTGCCTTACAGCGCTAGGTAGAGATGGCCTCTGTGATGGCCAGGATGACCTCACAGAGATGTGATGTGCCTTTTTGTCAGAATTGGGCAAAACCCAACAGGTGACAACACAGCACTAGCGGGCAGTGGACTGGGCTTGTTTCATCCCTAGTTCCTGTGCTTTCCTGTACATCAAGAGAGAGCACTTTTTCTGTCACCTGAGGCTACGTTGACTCTGTGTTTTCTGATACATCTATTGTTTTGATAACCCAAAGGTAGGAGACTGCTCAGCCTGTTGCCAGTCCTCAGCAGCATCCTCTTTTGTCAGTACTTCTTAATGCTACAGGAATCTCTGAACTCAGTTACTTCTGAAAGAAAGCACTGAAATCCACTCTTGCCCATTTATGGAAAGGCTGTGTAGACATTCCTCTGGAGAGCTGGTTAATGCAGAAATGTCTTGAAGAGTTGTCACCATGAGCACGCTGGGAAAACTCTTGAGTTTGGATTAGCCTTGCAAGGATATCCCAAGTGGGCTGTGCTTGCCTGCTCTCTTTTCTTGTTGGCAATCACTCACCCCCTTGCTGTGTAATTAGGTCACTTAGCCTCCCCTTCGGAGCCTTGCAGCGTTTTCCTCCCTGGCAGCAGAGGACTTCAGCAGCTGCCAAAATCAGCTGTCTTTCCCCACCTCCCCTCTCATGGAAGTACAAGAGTCCCTTGAAGGGGGGTGGAGTCCAAGCACTATAACCAGAAGAGCGATTAATCCACACTTACACAAGCAGACTGGTTCTCCTGCTGGAATAGGATTTATTGAGCCTTGATGTGTTGATTATATACAGGCTCATTATAAAGACATGCATACACGCTTAAGGATGTGAGCTGTTGTTTTCCATTACCTTATGTGAACAAACTGCACTTAAATCAAGGACTTGACCTAGCAGATGATTTGGCCAACTGACTGTAAGCAAAGATTTTGTTTAAGCATTTCCAGTAATTACAGACTGATTTTAATCACAGCTGCCATTCCAAACTGCCTTGTGGCTGAAAGGGTGAGGTGGGAGAAGTGCATTTGAATTTTTCTTCTAATTTAGGTTGAAATGCTCTGAAATGTCAGTTTTTTTTCCGGAAGTCCCACACTGCCATTTCAGATTTCTACTTATAAAGCCTGTTCTACTTGCAATGCTTAAGCTTGTTGTGAATGCTGTTATGGTCCCTCCCTTCTGTAAACACAACAGTAATTGTTAATACTGAAATTGGATTTTAATCAGCTAAAAGTTTGTCACCTTTGCAAATTATCCTATTCTCTCTCCTCCTGGTATCCAAGAGGTTGACTTTCAAGGAGACATCCACTGCTGTAGACACTTTATAGTGTGAAATGGAAGAAAAGCTGGAGGGAGTAAATTTCTCAGTTACCCTGCAACTTGCCTGTCTCCCTGTAGGTACTCACAGCCCAAAGTGTTTTCAAACTATGCATGAGTGTAGCCACTCCTCAGTTCAAGTGGGCTTCTCAAAGTCAGAGGAGCTGAGAGGAGGAAGAGGAGTTGAGCTACTTCGGAGAGGTGGAGGTGACAAGCAAGAGCCCTGAGTAGGTAATCTGGGTGGAAGGGAAGCCTGGCAATGTGCATCACACATACAGTACCCTAAGAGGAGATAGTGACATGATGAAAGCCCAGCTTTGAGCATCTCTGGGGTCACTGTCATCAGAGGTCTGTGGTGGGAGATATTTGGGCTTTTTTTGGATCTAGATTTCACATCTATGAGTGATGTAAAAGCAAGATTCCTGACAAAAGATGGGGTACATGGTGGCTTTGTTCTTCACTGTTACCAGAGTAGGTGGGTTAGATCTTCATGACAACACCATACAGTTCCTAAAGTTGCTTTCTGCTTTCAAACATATTGAATCTGTGCACATGCTACAAAGCTGTTTGTATTAAGTACGTCCACAGGGCAGATAATTTTGTTGTTATTTTTGAGTACTAACTACAGTCCATGTATGTAATAGTCTAGCAGAGGCTTTGAAGTATTATGAATTTTATCTGGAGTATTGCCTCAAAATAAGTCTAAAATTTTGCAAGCAGGAAGATACAACACAACAGTCAAAATTTAGATGACTTTTGGTTCTGTCAGACTATTCTCCCTTGGGTTGAAAGGAACCAGGAGCAAATTTATTTGGCACCATGATCCCCTTGATCATTCAATAGCAACAGCTGGCACTGCTAGCAGAAGAGCAGCCAAGAGCTATTCTATCTAATTACAACTAGATTTCAAAACAGATGGATGTTATCCATAATGTTATTTGGAGAATAGTATTTTTTAGTTGAATGCACAATAAGTTATTGCCTTTAGCTTTGGTTTTGGCTCTGACTGACAGTGGGAGTGGTGTTTTAATTTTTATTATAATGAGGACAAATAGCAGGCAAAGTGAGAGTCAGACATTTAAACAAGAGAATGGAAATGAGAAACATTGGCACAGTATTTCCCAACAGAATAAGAAACATGCTGAGAAATCCTATTAAAATACTTCATTAAAATGTGCTGAAGGAAGGAATGTGCCCCAGCCTGAAAATGAGGACATCAAGTTTTCTTGTGATACAAACAGTATCTGAACTCCTGTGTGCCTTTGGATGTGATTAGGGAATTTTTCCCACCTTGCTTCTCAGTGTATCCTATTACCCAAAGTGCAGAGAAACACAGCTTTATATAGACTATCAGAAAAGAGAAGTGAAAATATGGCTGTTCTGGAAGCACCTGACTCAGCGTCTTCATGGTAATAAGTAAGTAAACCAATACTGGCATTATGCCATCACTTGAAAGCAATTTTCAGGAGACAAGCATTTCCCTCAATTGTGATTCCTAGTTTTACAAACTGAAGTGCTCAAAGGGGACAGTACTTGCTGGATGCTGGGGTAAGATTTTCCACGCTCTGTCTGCTCCTCTATTAAAATTGTAGTGTTCGTTGTCTTCAGCACCAGATTCAGGCTGCCCATGGCTCTGCAAATACATTCAATTCCGAACTGCAGCATCCTTGGCTATTCCAATTATCAGCTCTCCTTACATTTCTGTGTGAAGCTTCTCAGTCCTAATCAACAAAATTTGCTCTTCTCAGCTGTGTTTCGTGAGCTTGACCAACAGTTAATTGTATTATCCCTATCTGCACAAGAAAGGGAAAACAAGGAGGATTTTCAAGCCAAAATTTTTCAGACTGTGCAGTGCTTTTATCTTCCAAAAGCTTTCCTTCCAAGTGCAGGCCAGTCATAATGTCTGGGTGTAGGACAGGAGAGGACTGCCTGAAATGTTTGGTTGTGTATGCAGGAAACGTCTTCTCTGTTCATTTGTTTTTCCTAAAGATGGGCATCAACACTGTCATTCAAAAACTAGCTGTCCAGGCTCTCCCTGTGGTCTGTGGAGAAAGCTGGACCCTTCCAGAAGGTGCCTGTGCCTTGGCATCACTTCCATAAGTATGTCACCAGGTGACTAGTTTAGACTAAGTTGTCCAGCTCTGAGGTGGGTGACAATGGGAGATGAGCATCCAGTCTCCAGTTTCCATGCATTCTTACTGCCCACCATCCTCAAGGGTCTGAGATATGACATGTCCCTGCAGGGCTAGGTGTTGAGCTGTCCTTGGTAATCCTGTGGTCAGTCAGGCAGGGGGGTCTAGTGAAAGGTTTAGGTGAAGTCAGGGGAGTCACTCTGTTACCTCACAGAGGGCAGCAAAGCACAATTTCTGACCGGAAAGGGAATCCAGCATTCTGAAGATACCACTTTCATGTGAGATGAGGAACTCTACTTTGCCTTTACTGTCAGTATGCTTTATAATAGCTCCATGTATTACACCTTCCTGCAGCCCAGATGAGCCTTATATTCATCTTTCTGTCACTTCTCAGTGTTCCTCCTCCCCCTTTCCCATCTTTGACCAACTTTCTTTCAAACATAGGGGTATGGGATGACTTGAAATGCTGGGCTTTCCAGTGGTGTGATTCACTGAGAAGTGGATTGATTTGGTATACTTTGTTAGCAGCAGCAAACGTGCTCTGGTGAGTGTTTGCAGGTGGCCTGCTGTGTCTCTTGCTGTTGACTCTCCCTGCAAACATCACAGAGGTTACCTGCTTAGCATGAAAAGATGATATGGCAGCAGGTCTCTGATCTGATTCCTCTGATCTGGAGGAATAACATGAGCAAGCCTCCCAGTGGTGCTAATATTCTCCTGAAGATCCATGGGGAAGAAAACCAGTGTCTCTTAGTAATTGCCTTTGCCCTCTATCTCAAATCTTGTAACAGCATACTACTTTGCAGCAAGGTCTTCTGGTCAGCTACAGGGTGTATGGAACAGTTGGTTGGCAGGCGTTTTCTAGCACGTGCGCAAGGGAAGGTGAAGGAGAAGGCTGGGAATTCACAAGTACACAGAGGCAGGGAGAAGGTGGAAGTCAAGGAAGAGTTTTCCTTTGCACAGCAGGAGACGGTCAAGAGGCTCTTCATGGAGGTGTCTATGATCCTGGGAAGCAGTGGTGGGGAGATCATTGTGCAGAGATTGTGCCAGCTAGGCAGAGTGCACAGCTTTCCAGAGGAGAAGACCTCCTGCTTTCCACTCCATTCTTACAGCTTCTGCTTTATGGTATTAACTCTTCCTCAGCTCTTTGGGGGGAGATTTCTGCCAGATGAGAGCCAGATGGCTCTGGGATCTGTGTAGGCAGGGGGTTGCAGCAGCTGGTGAGGGCACTGCAGTGCACAGATTGCATTGTATCCTCCTCTCAATCCTCTTTACACTCCTTTGCTCCTTTGCCTATTAAACCCAGCTTCTTGCTGTGCAAACAGCTCTCCTTCAGTGGTATCCTGTCAGATAGGGCTAGCAGTGCTGGCAAAGTGATCCTGCTGTTGATACTTAGTCTTGAAAGGATATGTGATACAGGAGCAACAGATTACTCTGGGCTTTGCAACTGCCCTTGACCTCTAAGAAACATGACCAGCACACAGATTTGGAGAAGAGCTGCCAGCAATAGCTGAACATAACTGGATATCTTAAACCACACAGCATGTGGCAATCTGTTTGCCATGTTACCCAAGAATTAAAATGCTTGTAGGTTTTGACGTTGCCTGAATATTGCAGGACTTTTTCCCCCTTTGTATATAATTTCTTCAACAGCCTTGAGGTACATCAGTGTTGTCAAGCTCTTTCTTTTTCTTAATCAGTTCCATGGGTTAGCCAAAACATCTTCGTAATATTCCTAAGCTGTTTTCTGACCGAGGGCCCAGACCCTGATCCTAGCTGAGTCATCTGTGTGACTGGAAAGAGTGATGGGAAAATCTCTGGAGCCTGGAACACTCAATCCAATGACCTGCTGGTCTCAGCCCCACTGGAGGGAAATCGCCAGCCTCACGTGTGAGATCCCAAGTCTACAGATTCATTTCTGCTTCTTTTCACTGTCAGCCACAGTGGTCCAAGTTCTTTCCAGCAGGGATGGAAGCTACAGCCCTTTCCCAGCAGAATTTGCAATTCAAGGTTAGGACGTATGTTTTGTCCTAGAAAGCAGCATGACCAAAGGAGACCTTCAGGAAAGGGTTGCATGTGAAGCAGGGTGGATATGCTCTGAGGGGAGCAGACCCAGAGGACAGCACTACAGAAAGCAGAGCACTGTGTTCAGAAAAGCTGTCAAATGGACAGTTACAAACTGAAATGTTGGCAAGGCAGATAAAATTATGAAGAAGAGCCAGCTAAAAAGAGTACAGAGCTATGAAGAGATTTCAGTGTAGGGCTGATAAAAATCTTGAGAGATGAGGTGACATGGAGGGGAGACAGATACAATTTAGTCAAGCAGCAAGAAGTGTGATTTTTCCTTTCTATGGATAGATTGCTTTTCATGTTGGATGAGCTTTCAATGCTTTGCTTTCTATGGGTTGGAAAGGAATCATAGAAGGTTTTGACAGGTATCTGGGTGCCTAGAGATACAGGACAAAGAATGGCAGGGAAACTGTGGATCTTAGATGCTTTTGAAAATGCCTCTACTTGCTGATGTTTGTGTTGTAGATTCTTCTGAATATCTAGCCCTATAATTCATCTAAACTCAGACTCCAGGTGTGGTTAATACAGGAAACCACTTCTTTAGAGATGCTGCCTATGCCTAGATTTTCAGTCTCCCCAGTTGCTGGGATTTACCTGAGGTTTATGCTCAATCTTTCTCCTGCTGCTTGGAGGTACAGTTCTGTGGTGAAATTGAAGTAACAGCATGTCTCTTCTCTGTCTTCTTGCAGAAATGGAAGATGAAAGGCAGTTTCATTCAACACTTTGTCAGTGGTCTCTGCCTGGAAAACCAGACTGGGAGAGTGGTGACCAACCCTTGCCAAGCAGGTGTACCTGGCCAACAGTGGGAGCTGCTACAAGCAACATGATGGTAGCACAGAGATCTCCTTTTTTCTTTGTGCATGAGACTTTGGGAACAGAGAGGGATCGGGAAGGGAGGAATGGTTTTGTATGTCTGACCCTAAATGTTTTCATTGTGCCCATCAGCAAGCCATCATTTCAGCTGAGTACTTGTTGTTTCTGAGCTTTTCAGAGAAGCTGGGAGTGAGAGGGATGAGGAGAGTTGTTGAAACCTTCCCATCTGTTGTCTTAAGTTCTCCTTTGTAGCTGACGTCCATGCACAGCTGCACCCAGAAAGGGGGGAGGACCCAGCCAAGCACTTGGAGTGACCAGAACTGCCCTGCAGCTCTCCCCATCCATCCATTCCTTCCTCTGCATGCAGAGTCCACGACCTTTGGTCCACCAGATTAGACAATGCTTGTACAAACATTGGTACCTCATTGGCTTCCCTGGCTTTTTGCTCTAACATTGTGCATCATTCGTGCATGTGTCTCTCTCTCAGTGACAACTGGCCAGAAGAGCCATGATGATAAGTGGAGGGCTGGGGAGGAACTAGAAGACCCTGGGGGCACGTTTGTAACCTCTTTGTGGTGGGCCTGTTCCTTCCTCTGCCTGTAGTGGGTGCTCGACAGCCAAATGAGCTGAGGTTGGCATAATGTCGACAAGAGCTGGAAAAGGGACGATCTGTTTTAGCAGCATAATAACCAGGGATTGTTTTGGGGACTATTTTCTGTTGAATTCTTGCTTCCATTATTTTATGGGTGGAAGGCCAGCCCTGCCTCCATGAGTTATCCAAACCTGCAGGCAGCCTGCTGATCTGCGTTCCGGGTACCACATTCCTGCAGAGCTGGTCAGAGATGGGTGCTGACGCTATCGGATGCCAGGGAAACTGGGAGTGCTCTCTGGCTGCTTCTCCTGATGCTAATGGACACTGCCTGCTGCACGCCACGGTGAAGGTGATGCACAGAGCTCTATGTGCAGCACTCGCTGACAGTGCCATTGCACTTGGCCCAGGCCTATGGCAGGAGCCCACCCAGTACCGCATTGCATGAGGCAGAAAGGGCAGCCTCTAGGTCATTGCAGGCATCCTGCTGCTGTCTGGCCAGGAGCACAGCTTCCTCGCTGGCTCTCCAGCTCTGCATGGAACAGACCCCAGCATGACAAGCCACCCAATCCCTCTCTTTTTTCCCCCTCTCTCTGAGACAGAGGAGGTGAAAAGGCCTGGGGCTGCTCAACCTGGGACACCCAGTTCTCTTTCCAATGGGAACCATGGGCAGGTTAGTTGGTGAAGCTGAAAATGCCCCCTGCACAAATGTTTCCACAGCACAGGCCTGTCCAAGAGATCTCTCTTTTGTGTTCTGGAAATACCAAAGACAACTGGTGTCTCCAGCTAGCGTCCCAGTCCTGCTCCCAGTTACCAGTCAGCTGTAGCCGAGTGTGGATTTTCAGACCTGCCAGGGGAAGTTTACCTATTCCAGTAAAATAATCCCCACAATTTCACCTTTTCCTACAAGATCTGTTAAATTTTCCTCTTGGAGCTAGGTTTTGTAAACCAGCCCTCCTCTCCAAGAACCTGGCAGGGGAACCAGATAGCCGGGTGACCTTTAGTAGGCAATTGCTTGCCCGCATCCTTTCTGATCTGGTGTAGAAGAAACAGGATATTCGTTTGGATTCTGAACAGCTGGCTGCTTTTGATCATGTTTGTATCCCTTTATAATTCTTTCTCCTAGCTTGGCATTAGCCCCAGCAGTTGACAAAAGAACAGATACTGTTCTTCATATGTCATATGTGCTCAGAAGTGCTTGTGTGAGAACTGGACAATTCGTTTTCTGTTCTCAGTTCTTTTATTTAAAAAATTAAATGCGTCATGTGGCCAGAGCTTTCTTCCTTTTTCCCCCTTCACTTTGACATCAGCTCACCATCTTGACACTGATTAACCAGATGAATGAACTGCCCACACTGTGAAAGCTCAGAAGGCAGCTCCCTTTGGTCCCAAGCTTACTGCATTGTGCAGCTGCATTTCTGTGTGGGAATGGGGGGACCAACCCTGCATAGATTTCTCTTTCCCTGTGTAGAGGTGCTTTGGGCCTGAACCACTAGGGCCAGGAGAGAGTAGAGAAGAAAAGGAAATAATCTTATGAATAGAAAGAGGGCAAAACAGACAAGACCGATGAGTGGGGAGAGATGCCATCCTACTAGAAACTGCTTTTTTAAGCAAGAATATGAAGGAGATGCTACTTCCAAAACAGCAACATTAAACATTAGGAGACAGACATAGCGAAGTTCTCACATACCTGGCTTGAAAAAGATTAATGCAAATACAGATGAAAGACCATTGAGCGGGTACTGTACTAAAGTTCTTTATAAAATGCATCCTAAGTGGACCATCTGAGCTTCCCCCATTTCACCCTCCAGCAGCCCAAGTGTTGCAGCTAACAGCATGTTCACTCCTCCACCAGGTACTGCTTCCTTCCTCCTTGCTCCCACTCTGTGTGTGCAGCTTTTTTGCAGTTCCTTCTTCATAACCATACTGGGACCAAGACCCAGCTCCTCTGCAAACAATTCTCCTGACGCTGCAGACCACAGAAGCTCTGCTTACATACACTCTCCAAGCTCTGGGCCAGCTCTTGTTCAAAGGGCTCTTGTCAGCACACTAGCTACTGCCCTTGACTTTGTGCTTAGCTCCAATGTTGGAGGCTTCTGACTGCTCCTGGAGCAGAGGTACCCAGACTAGCTGTGTTGATTTGTGCCTCTCTTCCTACTCCTCACCACCTGGCAGAGTGTGAACTGGCATTATCTGGGGCTGTGAGCTGGGGCAGCTAAAGATTTGACACTGTCCTTCTTCAGATGTCCTAGCCTTGGGATGAAAAGGGAAAGGTGGGCATATGCTAGATGTCAGTAACTTATATTGCTCCCGGCATTAGGGCCTGCCAGAGCCCTAACTCTTCCTGGTTTTGGACATGTTCTCCTGAGGTCACCTCTACACGGTTTACTTGTCTGTCATCTAAAGCACTGCTCACAGGACATTCCTGTAGGCTCAATGCAGACCCCTGACCTTGCCCCACATCATCTGGTAGCCATTGGTTTCCAATGGCTTTTAGCAATTGCTAAAAAGGTGGTGGATTACAAAAGGCTGCTTTCAAATGTGGCCAAGCTAAACTTCTCCTCAGAATACACAAAGTCTTGTCCAAAATCAATATTGGTATATTTTCCATTTCCCTTGCTCTGAAGGAAAAGAGGAACGAAGTTATCTGTGCTTTTTTCCCCAAGGTCCATGCAGTGCCATGTTTTAGAAAAGGATTCTGTTGAGTTTTTTTGAAAGCAAACTGACTGAGCCCTCAGATTTGGCCCAGTGATTTGTTTCTTTAAGTCAGAACAAACAGCTGCTCACCCTTGTTTTCCTGTTTACTTTAAACAGCCCCCCAGACTGTCAAGACAGAGCATTTGCATTGTTAACACCTCTCAAGGAAGTCGTTGTTGTATCAGATCATCTAATGTAATTTCATGTGCTGTGAACCAATGCGGGTTTATTTAAGAGGAGCTGAAACTGCTGTTGTACAGAAATCAATTCCAAAGGGTTTATTTTCCCCACTCAGTTGTAAGTTACACTTTGCCAGATGTAATTTATGTGGAGCCAAGATTTGTTTTCCCTTTTCTTGAAGAAAGCATGTACCAGAATCTGTTTAATGCCTGGAATAAAATCCACTTTGAAACAAGTGTTTCAGCCTGTTCTTATCCCCCCTTACTTCCCATCAGAAAAAAACCCTCCACCTTTTCTTGCCTGGTCCCTGCCTCTGTCTCTCACTTGGTTTGTGTCCCCAGACACGCATGCCACAGTTCTTTGCATGGGTTTCTGGGTGGCTTCTACAGTGATACTGCAGGAGCTGGCAGAGCTATTTCTAGGATACGGTGGTATATCAGGTGAAAACAGTGAGAAAGTTCTCTTCCGATGGCTAGGCAGGCAAGTACCCTTTCTAGTAAAAATTAAGAGCAGTGGGGGGAATTAATTCTTCCTGTTATTCCCTCCTTAATCTTTTCCTTAGGCTATAGGAGAAGATTAGTAAGGCTGCCTGTTCCTTCCTAAGCCTCCCAAAGGTCTGTCTTCTGCCTCTAGCTTGAGGGCAGGGAAGCATCACCACCCACAGATGCCTCCTAGCACATTGGCTAAGGCGTTGCTAAGCCTTGAATACTGTGACTCCCCATGCAGGCTGGTAAACCTTCCTAATCTCACTTTATTAATAAAAAAAGCCCAGCCAGCAGTGTCAGTGTGGAGGCTTTGAGTTTAGAATCAGAGCTTAACTGCCTTAGTTCACCCCAGAGACTTTTTCAAACAGGGATCAGCTGGATCTGCCTCTATAGTTGTGTCAGAGCCTCTGTCTAGGGAAGAAGGCTGAAGGTGCATTGGAAGTTATGGGGTGTGGAGGGAGCCAGTGCTTCCCCATGCTGCCTGGTAATGTATCTGATGTTGGAGTGCTGTGGGAACTTGATAGTTAAAAAAGACAAGAGATGGGGCTTTCTGTCTTACTGCTGCTTCTGTAGCAGGACATCAGCTGGGCTGTGTCTCTGGAGTCCTGCCATGCATGCCTTGGGTGATGACCATCAAAGTGCCACAGCAACCAGGAGGTTTCTCAGGCTGTAATGATGGCTGGGAAGACTTTAAGTAGTCCTGTCTAGGCAACAAAATACTGCTCTTGTGAAGAGACAAACTGGGGGGGGGCAGGGCTGAGGCTGAAGGAGAAATGGGTGAGGGATGGGTTACCCTCTGAGGAGGATAGGGTCAGGCATGCAGTGATCTGGCATATGAATGAGGTAGGAGAGTTTGGAGTAGAAATAGTTGCATCAAAATGAACTAGAGCCAAGTGGGGGGGGAATTATAGGGGAATAAGTTCTTTGCAGTAGGTTAAAGCCATAGAAGCACTACATACACAGCAGTCACTCAGTTGGGTCAAAGGCAGGAAATGCATTGTCTCAAAAGGCAAATGAAGTGTTGTTTGGATTGGTTATGTTTGGTTGTTGTGTTTGGGTTTATTGTTTGTTTGGGTGTTTTTTTTTTAGGAGTTTGTTTGGTTTGGTTTGCTGTTGGTTGGTGTTTTTTTACTACTCAAATAGTTCATTTCAGCACCCACAAAGCAGGTTATTTTCCAAGAAACAGAGATGTTCTCCAGACTACGCACAGTAATAAAGTTAGGTGCTTGGAGATCTGAGATCTCCTTTTTCTGCAGTCTGTTAAAAGGAACTTGCTTGATACAGAGACCTTATGCAAGTGTCTCCATTCTCAAAATCCTCTGCAGGTGGGCTGCAGGGCGTGTGGAGGTTGGTATCTCCAATCCCTCTGATGTGAGCTCGTCAGCATTTTAAAAGTACATGCTAACTGCAGAAGCACCTGGAAACCTGACTGCTGCTCTTCCCTCTGTCTCATACTCCTTGGCCAACACAGCTGAACAGCTCCTGTATCCTTCCCTCTTATGGGTCCTGAGATTCATTCCTTTGTTGTGACTTGTGAGCATTTTCAGCGGAAGCAAAGAAGCCCTGGAGAACTGCAAATGTTGAAATCAGATGTTTAGGTATACCTAAATCAAATCTTGGTTCCAGTGTTTATTTGGCTTCTATGGTAGCAAAAACTCAGCAGTGTGCTGCCCTGTGAAAATAATTGGGGTGTTTGCAGCATGCTGAGCTTCTGGCTCTGCTTCTCTGTACCCATTTGTAGGCAGGAGGTATTGCCCCTCCACCACTCGGGTGCAAGGTAGTAGAGTTGTCATCCACAGTTCTAGGGTTTTCTTTCTGTAAGGTATTTCACAAGCACCTGTGATACAGTCCAGAGCTCTGTCAGAAACACTTCTGTGCTGCACTGTGTTTCAAAGGTGCTGTTGGGCAACAGGAGGTGAACAACCTTTTGCTTTTTTGACTGTCTGCACCTGTTTGAGAAATGCTGCTTAAATCTCACCAGTGACTGACCAGTAATTAAAATCAGGCGAAAACAAGGTAGCATTTCTGTGCTGGAAATTACACTGGATAAGCATTCAGACCTGCCTATTTCTGAGTCAGGGACAGCCCATCCAAAGGGAGAAATGGAGATAGCAGCTTCTGCTTGACATTGTCAATGAAACTTGTACTTTACAAGTGTGAGTCATTAAAATATAAGCCAGCTTCATCTGTACTGCATGGTGCAGTAAGAAAAATGAGAACAAGTGTAACAAAATAATCTACTTGGGACAAAATTGTGTTTTAATGAGATTTTGGTAGAAAACAGGTTCTCTGGTTTTGATTTCCATGGAAACTAGTACAGCAAGGCTCTTTACCACTGCTTGCAGTGGGGCTGTGTGTAGCAGTAGTAACAGTAGTGTGTGCTGGGTGATGAGCTGGCCAGTGCCTGTGGGATGCTCAAATTCATGAGCATGAACTGAACTAGGTGGGATCACTGACCCAAAAAGCTACCCATGGGTCCTGGTATGTCTCTTCCCCCTGAATTTCCTGGTCAGAGTCCAGGGCTGTTTCACCTTCTCCCTGCCTCAGTCTCAACTGACGGGTGGATCTCAGTATCACCTTCTCTGTAGCAGCCTCAGCTTCCTGTAAGTGTGGGGTAGTGGTGAGCTCTCATAGGCTTCACCCCAGCTCTCAAGATTCTTCCTCACCTTGTGTCCTGGCATGTTGTGTCAGTGCCCCGTGGGACTGCCATGGGATCTCCTGATGGTTATTTAGTTTTAACCTGTAGACACGCTGCTGGTTTGCTGCTGGTTTCCCTTCAGCAGCTGGGAGACAAGAACTGGCCCTGCAGTACAGCTGGATTTTGGATGTGACCACAAAGGTTTCAAAGAAGTGGGGCAGCTGAATACAAAGTAGAGAAAACAGCTTATTTGAAAAGGCTATTTGAAATAGTATTTGAAAATTCTTTGTACAGTTCACCAATGTTTGTTTGAAATTCTTTACCCATGAAAACACCTTGTTTCCCAGTCCTCTGAACATATAATTGGGGCAAATCAGAAATCATGTCAATGCTGGTATATTTTGAGGGTGATGGTTGGCATTTTGACTTTGCTAAAGAGAAAGCAGTGTTTTCAGTGCTGTGGCAAGCAGAAAAACAGTGAAAGGGGAAATGCTAAAATAGGTATGAGGGCACTCTAATGTGGCCATAGTTTCCAGAGCAGAAAGAATGGGAAGATGGCTGATGAGTGCCCTTCAGTCCCATCAGTAGCAGAACAACAGGGTAGAGAAGGAAGGGTGTGAAAGGAATAGGGTCTTCCTGTAGTGACTGGGGTATTTCTAGGACAAGAAGACTGGGGTCAGGCTCTGAGGACAACATAGGCCTGTCTCTTGTTTCCAGTCCCTGCTGCCCTCAGCCCTTCTGCAAGATATCCCCCTCCTATTTCAGGGGACAGCTTGGCCTGTGCTGGGCAGAGAGTGGGACTCGGAAGACCAGTGCTCAGGCTGGGACTTCCAAGCTTGGCTCCCACTGGGGAGACATTACACAGCCAGCAGCAGGGCTGCACTGATATGCAGGTGTTTGTGTCCCAGGCTGCAGCAGAACGTGGGGCTGTTGGAACCCATTGCACCCACCTCCATGGATCAGACTGTCCAAGGCTGGCTGTGCCTGAACTAGAAGGCCTTTTCCATTCCTAATTGCAGTGATTCCTTCCTTTTTAAAACAAACACAAGAGCCACCAGTGCTACAGCTGGAAATTCAGTGGAGAACACATAATGGGGACAGTTAAGTCTGAGTTTTGCCTTGGCCTTCCAAGGGACAGAGCAAAAAGGATGTATTTTGCTGTCAGCTCTGATTCTCAGTGACTGCAGAATGGTCACATTAGCTCCCAGTACTCCCTTCCCTTCTCCAAACTGGGAATGGTTCCATCTGGCTGCCACATGAAGTGAACTTTAATTCAGCCACCTTAGAAAACACTTTCCCATGGCAAAGAGGAAACACTTTTATTATTGGTGTTTCCTAATCGATTTTCTCCTGTGAGTTGTTTAATTCTTTGTTGGGTTTTTTCTTTGCTTGATCAATCTCTGAGTTTGCTGCACTCACAGCAGAGTGTGAGAAAAGCAAACCCTCCCTCTGGCGCAGCACTCGCAATGCAGACGGTACTGCCTGCCGCTCAGTCAGGGTGGGCTACACAAGCTGCCTGGACCACTGTGCCACTGCTGGGGCAGTTTGTCCATGCTGATCCCCTCTCTGTGCTGACCACAGCAGTGACTACGCTGCATCTGGTGTGTGCACCTACACATCCTGCCTTGCCTGTCCAGCCAGGCAGGAAAACAAGGGTGACATTCTTGCTCTATTTAGTCTCCAATGTTTTGACATCATCTTCACTTACATCTGCTTTTCTCCTTTGTGGTCTTAAAACAGACTTTATGGGTGAGGAGACAGGACAGAGAAACATTTTTCTCAGCAGACATTGATGGTTGGCTTTCTCCTCACTGCTGCATTTTTCCTTCCTTTTTTGCAGAGTTGGGGGGGGGGGAGTTATTCATTAGTGCATACACTTGTCAGATTTGGGAAACGGACTCAGTCTAAACCATTATTCCGGCTTGCATCAGATTTCCTGCTGTGCATTTTCATAGAATCATAGGATCAACTAGGTTGGAAAAGATCAACCATTAGTTTAATACTGTTGGCTTTAAGAAATGCAAGTGGCTGGGAGAACGCTTGCTGGTCAGCAGTCACTGGCTTTGTGACTTTTCCAGAAGCAGCATTAAAGAGCTGGCCCAAGGCAAGTGAG